CGTTCCAAGTCCCGGCTCTTCTGTGGGCCGGTTTCTCGGTTCTCTTTAAATAAGGCCGGCCCGTTCTCATTTTTCCTTGGCTTCCGCGGCGTCGGGGCTGCAGTGCTAACATTTTACTTGAATTGGAAAGTAGCCGGGTCCCCTTGCAACTTAAACTCCTTAAGGGGGCGCCTGGGTGGCTCAGTCGGTTAAGCGTTGGACTTGGGCTCAGGTCATCCACGGTTCACGGTTTCGAACCCCGCGTCCGGCTCTGTGCTGACAGCTTGGAACCTGGAGCCTGCCTCGGATTCTGTCTCCTCCTCTTTCTGCCCCTCCCCTGCTCGTGCTGTCTCTCTCTCTCTCTCTCTCTCCCCCAAATAAATAAGCGTTAAGGAAAGAAAGGAAGGAAGGGAGGAAGGAAGGAAGGAACTCCATTAAGGAATTCTTTTCCGGTGGTTTTAACAACTCATGCAGTGCTGGGACCGGACTCACCACACTGCTACTCACCAGCCTTGTGACTTGCGACAGGACGGTGAATGTCCGTGTTCTCTTATCCCCATTTCTCCGCCTGATTTCTCTCCATAGCACTTACTGCCATTTAATGTATGCTGTGCTGGTTTATCACTTTTCTTTTGCTATTAGACTGTAACCTCCAAAAGGGCAGAGATGCCAAATTTGTTCTAAAATAAGAATAAAACCAGGGCACAGGTTTTGTGTCAAGAGTAATAAAAACGTTGACCTTACTTTCTGTAAGCAGTGGGTGAGGCAGTGATGATTCATGGCTAGTCTGCAGTTATTGGTCAGACTGGCTGCTTTGTGGCTGTAGGAGGCTTTTCCTTCCATAATTACTAATACCATCGTTCTTTTTCAAATGCTTGCCTTCCACAGAATGGGAATTTAGTACAAAGAATGGTACCACTGGAAAAACAGGCAGGGCTTTAAAAGTAACCTCAATAAGGGCGTCTTTGTGGCTCTGTTAAATGTGAGACTCTTGATTTACACTCAGGTCATGATCTCACTGTTAGTGACATGGATCCCCGCGTCCGGCTCTGTGCTGTCAGTGCCGAGCCTGTTTGGGATTCTTTCTCTCTCAAATAAATAAATAATAAACTTAAAAAAGAATAAAAATCTCAATAAAGCTGGTATTTTAAAAATTTTGGCAATCATCTGAAGGCTTTTTTGGGGGGGGAGGGGTTGTGACTTAATTGAAAAACTTAGCTGTTTACTAATTAATTTAGCCACCTTACTTTCACAAAATTAAGTGACATGAACTTTGTAGATCGCAAATCCAATTTAAACCAAAACCAATATCTACACTACATGGACTGCTAACCTCTGGCGAGGTTAGGGCCGCCAACTAAAAGCAGTATGGACACAATTGTAATTGTTAACCATCCCTCGGGGTTGATTACTTTAACAATATTGGGCCTGTTGGAAGATGCGTGTTTGGAATTATAAATCTTCTACTTGGAGAACTATTCTCACACGAGTGTAAGTTTCAAGGAATGAAAAAATGTTCCACTCTTGGGGAGCCTGGGTGGCTCAGATCGTTAAGTGTTCCACTCTAGGTTTTGGCTCTGGTCATGATCTCATGGTTTCATGGGTTCGAGCCCACGTTTGAGCACTGACAGTGCAGAGCCTGCTTGGGATTCTCTGTCTCCCTCTCCCTCTGCCCCTGTCTCACGCTGTCTCTGTCTCTCTCAAACTAAATAAACTTAAAAAAAAAAAAAAAAAAGTGTTCCACTCTTCAGAGCACTCATGCTGATTGTTCTGTCACTCTGACAACCCTTTCTTTCATTCCTAAGATTAGCTTTACTTTCAAAAACCAGCCATAATCTCACTCCTCCCCACCTCTGCTGTCACCACCCGGGTCCAAGTCACCACCATTATCTTTTGCCTGGTCTCCCGGCTTCTGCCTTGGCCTCCTGAAGCTTATTGTCAACACAAGACAAGGAGCCACAAGGCTGGATGCCGTATCTTCTATTCAGAATCCTCCAATATTCTGTATTTTAGAGTAAAAGCCTCTGGAGTCCTGTTGTACTCTACTCCAGTCACACCAGAGTCCTTGATTGTTTTGGAACCCCAGGCACTGTCCTGCCTCAGACATGGGCATCTGTTGTTCCCCCACCCAGGTCTCTCTTCCCCCACATGTCCTGTGGCTTGACTCCTTACCACCTTTAGGTCTTTGCTGAGATCACCTTCTCAGGGAGGTCTTTCCCGGCCAATCTCTTTAAAACCGCACTTCCCCTTTCCTACACCTTCAGTAGTCCTTGTCCCTTTTCTCTGCTTGATTTCTCTCCACACCACTTACTACCATTTAATGTGAGATTCACTTATCAGTTTTTGTTGTTGTTGTTGTTAGAATGTAAACTTCAAAATGGCAGGGATGTCAGTTTTGTTCAGTGCTGAATCCTCAGTACTTAGGATGCACCTTGTATATAATAAACATTCAAGTAGTATATTTGAATGAATAACTGGACGTTTCAAAAAAGTATGATCATAAGAAGCCTTAGCACATTCACTGTGAATATAATTCTCTTGGTGCAATTATATACTGCCTGTAAATAGATTCAGGTAACTTCCTAAAAGGTGGAGATTTGAGATTTTTTTTCTTCTAGCACATCACTGAAAAGCTGAGGATACGTACAAGAATACATCCCAAAGACGCAAAAGGTTGTAAAAAGGTCTGGTTTTTCCAGTCTCTTGAACCTAAGTCACTGGACTGGAAAAGATCTCAAATGGTCTTTTAAACAATTTCTTACCTTTGTGTAGCATACAATTTAACAGGTGTTAGTATATTCAGAGTGCTGCACTTACCACCAGTCAGTTTTAGAACATATTCAGCCTCCTTTCAGAAAGCCCATACCCATTAGCAGTCACTCCCCGTTCCCACCCTCCCTGCCTACTCTCCAGCCCCACAGAACTACTAATCTACTTCTATCTCTGTAGACTGGCCTATTTGGAATCATATGATACTTTGTCATTTGTGACTGGCTTCTTTCCTTGGCATCATGTTTTCAAGGTTTATTGTCAAATAATATTCCACTGGATGGGTAAATCACATTTACCTATTCATTAGTTGGTGGCCATTTTGAGTTGTCTGTACTTTTTGGCTATTATAAAAATGCTGCTGTAAACATTTGCATACGAGTTTTGTGTGGACATGTTTTCATTTCTCTTGGGTAAATACCCAGGAATGGAATTGCTGGGTTATATGGTAACTCTGTGTTTAACTGAGAAACTGTGAGACTGTTTTCCAAGGAGGCGGCACCATTTTACATTCCCACCAGCAGTGTATGAGGCTTCTGGTTTCTCCACTTCCCTGTCAACACTTGCTATTGTCTTTTACTACAGACATCTTGGTGCCTGTGAAGGTGTCTCTGTGGTTTGGGTTTGCATTGCACTAGTGGGTGGTGCTGTTGAGTCTGCTTTCACGTGCTTATTGGTCTGTGTATCTTTCTTTGGAGAAATGTCTATTCAAATTCTTTTCCTGTTGTGCTAGATTTTTATCGTTCAGAAAAATGATCGCTTTACCTTCTGGATGTTTTACAGAGCTAGGCAGCCCTGCTTATAAATCTCCTCTGAATTGTAACTAGACGTTAGAGGCGTAATGAACTTTTGGCAGGAACTGAAGGCCATTCATATTACATTTATTGAATAATTGCTGTGCATTCGGGCCTGGTAAAATGAAGATGATAAGATGTGGCAGTCCTTGTCCTTGAGTCTATGGTCTACGGGGTGGGGGGGTGGGGGGGTAGAAATGACCGTGAGGAATCCACAGCTGTCCGAAGAAGGTGATGGCAGGTGGAAGGTAATGGGCAGAAGCATGGCACCATCAACAGCTGAAAGCTACACATGGTCGAGTGAGGAGCGACACATCTATGGAATGTTCCGGAAGTCCCCTTGGCTGGAGTCTTAGGGAATGAGGGGTAGGAGAGATTAAGAGACAAACCTGGAGAAAGGTTTTAGAAAGCCTTTCCTTTGAAAGTGGTTGAACTGTTTCCTGAGGGCAATGGGAAAATTTGAAGGGAGCAGTTAAGCAGAGGCCTGACTGGATTTTGTTTTCACAAGAACCTAGCTGTCCTGTGGAGATTGGCTAGAGTGGAGTGGGCCAGGCAGCCTGGAAGAGACTGGAGAGCATTCTCTGAAGTAGTAAGCCTCACTCAGAGCAGTGCCCCATGCTGGTGTCGCTCAACACCAGGGTTTTACGTTCAAATTGAATATTGACCACAGATTGGATCTTGTAGATCATTTTTTTTTTTTTAATTTGAGAGAGCGAGTGTAAGTGAGGGAGAGGGACAGAGAGAGAATCTTTTTCTTTTTTTAAATGCTTTGTTTTTGAGAGAGAGAGATCAGGGGAGGGACAGAGAGAGAGGGAGACACAGAATCCGAAACTGGCGCCAGGCTCTGCGCTGTCAGTGCAGAGCCCCACGCCGGGCTCAAACCCACAAACCGGAAGATCGTGACCTGAGCCAAAGTCGGACGTCCAACTGACTGAGCCACCCAGGCGCCCCAGAGAGAGAATCTTAAGCAAGCTTCACGCTCAGTGTGGAGCCCGACATGGGGCTTGATCCCACAACCCTGGGATCATGACCTGAGCTGAAATCAAGAGTCAGCACTCAACTGACTGAGCCACCCAGGTACCCTAGATCTTGTAGGTTATTATTATTTTTTTTAATATTTTACGCTTCTATTTATTTAGTTTAATTTTACTTTTTATTTTTTAAAATTTACATCCAAATTAGCACATAGTGCAACAATGATTTCAGGAGTAGATTCCTTAGTGTCCCTTCCCCATTTAGCCCATCCCCCTTCCCACCACCCCTCCAGTAACCCTCAGTTTGTTCCCCATATTTATGAGTCTCTTCTGTTTTGTTCCTCTCCCTGTTTTTATATTGTTTTTGTTTCCCTTCCCTTATGTTCATCTGTTTTGTCTCAAAGTCATCATATGAGTGAAGTCGTATGATTTTTGTCTTTGACTAATTTCACTTAGCATGATACCCTCCAGTTCCATCCACGTAGTTGAAAATGGCAATATTTCCTTCTTTTTGATTGCCGAGTAATACTCCATTGTATATATATGCCACATCTTTATCCATTCAGCCATCGATGGACATTTCGGCTCTTTCCATACTTTGGCTATTGTCGATAGTGCTGCTAAAAACATGGGGATGTGTGTGTCCCTTCGAAACAGCACACCTGTATCCCATGGATAAATGCCTAGTAGTGCAATTGCTGGGTCGTAGGGTAGTTCCATTTTTAGTTTTTTGGGAACCTCCATACTGTTTTCCAGAGTGGCTGCACCAGCCTGCATTCCCATGTAGGTTATTTTTAATGTGAAAATTAGGTTTTTGGTTTATGCATTCTTTTATCTTAAGATTGGAGTGCAAAGGGATTATTTGGGAAAACTCTGTAGTTGAACTTTAGTTAATTGAGATTAAAATAATTAACTTTAGTTAATTGAGATGAAATAAATGCCTTAATTACATATTAACCTTTCTTCTCTCTTTTTTTCTTTCTTCCCTTCCCCTTCCTCCCTCCCTCCCTTCCTTCCTTCCTTCCTTCCTTCCTTCCTTCCTTCCTTCCTGTCTTCCTTGTAGACTCCATGCCCAGCATGGGCTTGAACTCACAACCCTGAGATCAAGACCTGAACTGAAATCAAGAGTCAGAAACTTAACTGACTCAATCACCCAGGGGTCCCTACATGTTAGCGTTTCTAAAATGAATGGATATGAATAATATTTTTTAATCTTTATTTATTTTGAGAGAGAGAGAGAGAGCATGTGCAGGGGAGGGGCAGAGAGAGGGAGAGAGAAATCCCAAGCAGACTCTGTGCTGTCAGAGCAGAGCCCAGTGCAGGTCTCAGTCTCACAAACTGAGATCATGACCTGAGCCGAAATCAGGAGTTGGACATTAACCTACTAAGCCACCCAGGCGCCCTACAATAAATTCTCGGAAATGCTATTCATTATCTGGGTATTGATACTGGCCATCTGGTATAGGCAACTGGTGTTTGTGCCAAAACTTCTCTTCACCCAGGACAGGCAACCTTTATTTTATTTATGTATTAAAAAAAATCTTTTTTAATGTTTATTTATATTTGAGAGAGAGAGAGAGAGAGAGAGAGAGAGAGAGAGAGAGAGGGGGGCAGGCAGACAGAGCATGAGCCAGGGAGGGCCAGAGAGAAGGGGAGACGGGCTCTCTCTGCTGGAAGCAGGCTCCAGGCTCTGAACTGTCCGAGTAGAACCCTAGAAAATATTGAAGCCTATGGAGAAACTGCTATTCTTGGAGATCTAGCCTGGTGATTCATAAGAGCCACTGAATACCCTGAGGCACAAAGGGGGCCAGTGAGAGCCCCTAGCCCCATCATTTGTAGATGGCACACCCTCAGTTTAAGTGACTTGTTCTGGGCCTCACTGCTGACTGGTGGCAAAGCACATCCAGATTCTAGTTTCTCTGGTGCCAGAGCAATGTCTTTGTTATCCATTTGTATCTAAGAAAGGAGAGAAAATTTCTCTGTTCTTTGAATGTTATTTTTGAGAGAGGGTGCATGCACTGGAGGGGCAGAGAGAGAGGGAGAGAGAGAATCCCAAGCAGGCTCTGTGGTGTCAGCACAGAGCCCAGTGTGGGGCTCCAACCCATAAGCCACGAGATCATGACCTGAACCAAAGTCCGGATGCCCAACCGACTGAGCCACTCAAGCACCCCTGGTTATCATTTTTAAAGTAAACTTTTTTTTTTTTTTAAGATAAAATGCAGGGTACCCAGTTAAATTCGTATTTCAGATAAACAATGAAATTTTTAAATGAGCTTTTTGTAATTGAAGAATAACATACAGAAACGTACATAAACTCAAATGCAGACTCAATGGATTTTCACAAAGTCAGCACACATGTAGGTAACCAGTGTTCCTTGTACCCCGTCCCAGTCACCACCTCCCAGGATAATGGACCACTGTCCTGCCTTCTGAAAGTACACCTTAGTTTTGCCTGTTTTTTGAAGTTTATATAAATGGAATCACATAGTGATATATGCTTTCTTGTCTGGCTTTTTTCACTCAAGACTGTTTTTCCTTTTCTTCTCCAACTTTTGTTTGTTTTTCCACAGTAGTTTGTTTTACTTCCTTTTTTTTTTCTTTTAGGTTTGAGGTATAACTTACATACAGTAAAATTGACTCATTTTACATGTACAGTTCGAATTGTGGTCATTGTATACAGTTAGGTAATCACCGTTGAGATCTAGGACCACTCCATCACCCTGAAAAAATTTCCTTGTGCTCTTTTGCAATTGATCCCTTGCCCTGATCCCAGGCAATTAATGTGCTTTCTTTCACCATAGTTTTGCTTTTCTAGAACTTCATAAAATGGAATCATATAGTACGTAGTCTTTTTGCATTTGACCTCTTTCGTTTAGCATAGTTTCTCATAATGTTTCTGAGATTTATCCATGTTGTGTATTCATTGTTGTAATATTCCATGATAGGAATGTACTGTTTATTATGTTGATGGACATCTGGGTTGTTTCTACTCTTAGGCTATTTTGAGGAGTGCTGCTCTGATCATTCCTGTTCTTGCCTTGAGTGCATATGTGTGCGTTTCTGCTGGACCTGCATGTAAAAGTGGAACTGCTATGTCCAGGTTTAATAGGTGCTGCCCACAGTTTTAAAGTGGTTGTACCGGTTTATACTCCAACTTTATGAAAGTTCTGGCTTTTCTATATCCTCACCATCACTCTCGTGTTTGATGTTTGTTTATTTTGAGAGCGTGTGTGCACGCATGAGCTGGAGAGGGGCAGAGAGAGAGAGGGAGAGAGAATCCCACACAGGCTCCACACTGTCAGTGCAGAGCCCGACCCTGGGCTCGATCCCAGGAACCACGAGATCATGACCTGAGCTGAAATCAAGAGTCAGGCGCTTAACCAACTGAGCCACCCAGGTGCCTCCTCACCAAAACATGATGTTTATCTTTTGTAATTTTAGCCATTCTGTAAGTCAGTAGTTGTAATTTAAGAACAAGAAATTAGTGTGATAAATTGCCACCTGTTTTATAGGATCTTCTCACCAAGCAAGCTCTTGTGTTGGTGGGATTTTATTTTGTCTGGTTTATCTTTACTTTTTTTTTTTAATGTTTATTTATTTTTGAGAGAGAGAGAGACAGAGTGTGAGTTGGGGAGGGGCAGAGAGAGGGAGACACAGAATCTGGAGCAGGCTCCAGGCTCTGAGCTATCAGCACAGAGCCCGACACGGGGCTCGAACTCATGAGCTGTGAGATCATGACCTGAGCTGGTTGGTCACCCAACCGACTGAGCCACCAGGCACCCCTACTTTTTTTTTTTTTTTTTTTTTAAGTAATCTCTACACCCAACGTGGGGCTCGAATTCACAATCCTGATATCAAGAATTGCATGCTCTACTAAGCCAGCCAGGCGCTCCTGTCTGGTTTTTCTTTTATAATTCTGTATTGTACTGCCATGGGTAGAATTGTTGATGAAAGTCCACATTCTATTATTCAGAAGATTGAACTTCCAGAGTAAGGCAATACTGAATTTTGCTTTGCCAGTGTTGTGTTTTGGGGAGAAGAGTGGTTAAGCTGAATGCTTGTTTTCAATTTGTTTTAGCCTTCAGGCCACTGAGAAACTGGTATATTTAGTTTCAGTAAATTTTTATTTTAGTCTGGAGGCAGTGGCTCATGTTACTGGCTTCTCTTTTGCTTTTCAGTGAGGTGCTGGCGGAGGAGTCAATAGTATGTCTCCAGAAAGCTCTGAATCACCTTCGGGAAATATGGGAATTAATTGGGATTCCAGAGGACCAGCGGTTACAAAGAACGGAGGTTGTAAAGAAGCATATCAAGGTGAGTTGGGTAGTACTGGTCTCTTTACGGCGGTTCAGGGGTAAGGATATTGGTGTCTCATCTGACATAGCTACAGAAGTGACACGAAGATGTCACAGGCTCTTCCTGGTTTTCTTTGTATTTAAGTCCTTTCTTAAGAATTTGAAATTATGAAGGTTTTGGTGTCGTTTGTTGGTTTGGGTTTTTTTCCCCCATTGGCCTCAGACTTTTATGGGACTGTATTCTCTTTTGTAGGACCTCCTGGATATGATGATTGCTGAAGAGGAGAGCCTGAAGGAAAGGCTCATCAAAAGCATATCCATCTGTCAAAAAGAGCTGAATACCCTGTGCAGCGAGTTACATGTCGAGCCATTTCAGGTACATGGCAGAGTCTCAGGGGATCCTGCTGGGGTCTGAGATTAGGAAGGAACTCTGACTTGGGGCTACCGGTGGAAGGTTTCCTTGTGAAATCCTGGCCATGAACGCAGGGAGAATTTGTCACCTAGTTATTTAGTTTCACCAAAGTACCTTTCACTTATGTGAAGAGTTGCCCTGTTGAGAGATACTAGCTAATAAGTGGTGCAATGCTTTGATCAAAAACAAGCCCTATATTTGTGGGGTGTGTGTATGATATATATACATATTATGTATATTATATTATTAATATATAATGATATTAATATATATAAATAATGTATAATGTACTTTTTCTTTTTTAATTCTAAGGAAGAGCTAAGTACAGATGGTACCATGCTATTCTTTCTTTGAAAAAAAAATTAAAAGCACTACCTAGGAAGCAAAAGGGACTAGTGATACAAGGGAAAGTTACCAAAAAACCTGCCTTTGTGGTTTTTTTATATCCAGTAGCTGCACACCAGTGAACCAGCCAAAATGGCTACTTGGGAAGAAATGTCTCAAAAGCTGGAGTGTCAGGAGAGCATAGTCAAATTCAGAGCATGATTATCTCTGTACCACGCTGACAGGTTGCTGTTTTGTGGTCCAGCACAAGGCAGAGCTTGAATGAGGACACCAGCAAGGATGGAATGAATAACAGGACTCCAAAACATGTCCCTGGTTAGATCCCGTATAAGTAGTGTTGGGATCATAAAAGTGAAAACCACTGTGGAGCTTGGCAAGGTAATTAGAATAGATGTGAGTGCAGGGCCAGCACAGGATGGCTATAATGTGGTGCCAGTAAGATTCTTGGGTCCCTCTCTGCTACAGGAAGAACTACGTGGGTACCTAGATGGAATCAGGCTAGGAGGGAGACCGCCTTTAAGGGGTTAATGATAATTCATACCTGGCAGCCAAGAGCAATCAGATCGTGATATCAGTGTAGTTTTTTGGAATCTACAGAAATGGCATATATATCATTGATTTTGAACAAATAGTTTCTTTAGTCTTTTTTTTTAACTTTCAGTGTGAAATCGGGTGAGAAGTTAGATATACAGTGATAAATATATATCTCCCTTAAATTACATGACAGTTTTTATTAGTTCACCAGTGTGGAATAAAATTCTATAAATTTTTAAGACCTGTAACTGCCACTCCCCCCTACCCCCCGCCACCTGTTTATCTGTTGGAGTAAAGCAAGGACTATCGATTTGTATTGGTTAAGTGATGTTTGTAGGCTTTTTAGGATGAGCATCAAGTTATGAGCTAAATAGACTACCCCATAGCTAACTCAAAACAAGCTTTCCAACCACTTTTCACCTCTTGCCAAAGTGCCCTGGTACGTTTCCTTTACTAGAGACCTTCCTTAGGGGACCCTCCTTGTGCCATATTTTGTTGGCTGTGAGTTGATGTACTGTTAAGTTTAACTAAAAGTCTGTCATCCTAGGGGTGCCTGGAAGGCTTAGTAGGTTAAGCATCCGGCTTCAGCTCAGGTCATGATCTCACAGTTCATGAGTGTGGAGCCTGCTTCGGATCCTCTGTCTCCCTCTCTCTGTGCCCCTCCCCTACTCACGTGCTCTCTCTCGAAAATAAATACATTAAAAAAAAAAGTTTGTCACTCTAGCTTTCTTCCATTGTCCTTCTCTTCGTGTGAATAAATCCACTTGAAACCTTGTAACAATGGCACATTGTCTCTTGCAGGAGGAAGGAGAGACCACCATCTTGCAACTAGAAAAGGATTTGCGCACTCAGGTAGAACTGATGCGAAAACAGAAAAAGGAGAGAAAACAGGAACTGAAACTACTTCAGGAACAAGATCAAGAACTGTGTGAAATTCTTTGCCTGCCCCACTATGACGTGGACAGCTCGTCCGTTCCCAGCCTAGAGGAGCTGAGCCAGTTCAGACAGCACGTGGCCACTTTGAGGGAGACAAAGGTATACTGTTTGCACTCATACTTCCTAAAGGTCGGTTTGACTTTCCTGGAGGGGCTCGTAATCATTTTATTTTATAGGCCTCTAGACGTGACGAGTTCGTCAACATAAAGAGACAGATCATACTGTGTATGGAAGAATTAGATCACACCCCAGACACAAGCTTTGAAAGAGATGTGGTGTGTGAAGATGAAGATGCCTTTTGTTTGTCTCTGGAGAATATCGCAACACTACAAAAGTTGCTACGGCAGGTAATGGCCACTCACTACTCCATCGTGTCCAGCAGTTTGAAAAAGCTGGCAGTTTCTTCCTTCAGTCTTAAATAAGAAGCCCATATAAGTAAAAAGGGGAAGGATAAAGATAGCAAATGATATGAACATCTTTGGTTTGCACTTTCTAAGCAAAAAATTTATATGTAGCTCAAAGAATGTGAAATTGAAATTTTGAATGAGATACTGTCCGTCTGTGAATTAGCTTAGTGTTTAATTTTTTAAGTTAAAAATTTGATTCTTGGTTCTTGGTGTTTGAGATCCTACCATAATGACAGCCATACAGTTTGTGTTCAGAATCACAAAAATACACTTCTCAATCTAGTCAGAGTACTTCTTGTGAGTCCAGACATTTCTTTGTGGGAAGGCAGCGGGCTGGGCTTCTTTGTTCTGTCTTTGCCCTAACTGTCAGCTCTCCTCCCCACAGCTGGAAATGCGAAAGTCACAAAATGAAGCAGTGTGTGAGGGTCTGCGGGCTCAAATCCGAGAGCTCTGGGACAGGTTACAAATACCTGCAGAAGAGAGAGAAGCTGTGGCCACGGTTATGAGTGGGTCAAAGGCCAAGGTCAGGAAAGCGGTAAGAAATCCAATGGGTGCTAGGTCAGCAGTCTCTACAAATGTCAGGTCTGTTGTCCTTACCAGCTTCCTGCCTCAAGTGAGCCTGTTTTTAAAGACAAGCATCAGGGGTGTCTGGGTGGCTCAGTTGATTAAGCTTCCAGCTTCAGCTCAGGTCACAATCTCACAGTTAGTGGGCTTGAGCCCCTCGTCGGGCTCTGTGCGGACAGCTCAGAGCCTGGAGCCTGCTTCGGATTCTGTGTCTCCCTCGCTCTTTGCCCCTCCACCATTTGCGCGCACGCGCTCTCTCTCAAAAATAAATAAACGTTTAAAAAAATTTTTATTTTTTAAAAAGACAAGGGACGCCTGGGTGGTTCAGTCAGTTAAGCGTCCAACTTCGGCTCGGGTCATGATCTCATGGTCCGTGAATTCTAGCCCCACGTCGGGCTCTGTGCTGACAGCTCAGAGCCTAGACCCTTTGATTCTGTGTCTCCCTCTCTCTTTGCCCCTCCCCTGCTCATGCTCTGTCTCTCTCTCTCTGTCAAAAATAAATAAACATTAAAAAAAATGACTTAAAAAAAAAAAGACAAGCATCAGACGAGGGTGGTGATAGCTGCTCATCCTCTGTCCTTTTGTGTGCCTTTCTTAGATTTCTGGCTCCCACGAGCTCATTGTTGCAAAGAGTGTTGATTTACCTCTGTTGCTTTGTGTTATAATTTTATTTAAAGGGGGGGGGGGGCATGGGAGCTTTTGGATTCCTGGGGGAAAATGAATGTGTGGCAAGCTCCTTTACCAAAGCTCCTTGTTTCAGCTGCAATTGGAAGTGGATCGGTTGGAGGAACTGAAGAAGCAGAACATGAAGAAAGTGATTGAGGCGATTCGAGTGGAGCTGGCTCAGTACTGGGACCAGTGTTTCTACAGCCAGGAGCAGAGACAGGCTTTTGCCCCTTACTATGCTGGTCCGTACAAAAGTGGTGGTCTTCGTGTGGCCTGCTCACTTGTCTTTATGAGGGCAGACGTTTGCTGGGAAGTGTTTCCTCTACCCAACAGATACGGCTCCCCTTTCAAGCCATTTAGCATCAGTTGCCATTCCTGAATAAACAGACATTTGCAAATGCTACTAGGAAGTAAGGGGTCTCTCGATTTCTGAAGCAGTATATCACTGTAGCCTGTGGTTGTGAGGCTCAAGTCTGGCAGGTGCTTACTCTGGGCCAGGTGCAGTGTCAAACCCTTAATGATATTATCTCACTTAGTCCTCATGTCAAGAGATGAGCACACAGAAGCACATAAATGCTCAGCAACTTAACCCAGAGGCAGCGCATAGGCAGCAGAGCCCACATTTGAGCCCACAGAGCCTGTCCCCAAGAGCTCAGCAGAATTCTAGTCTGACAGATGAGACTGTACTAAATTCAGCAGTGGTTTTAGAAATTGTGGGCAGGATGCAAAGGAAGAATATGAAGGAAACCAAGGACAAGGCAAGAGATGACCTAGAGTTTTGAGAATCTTCATCGCTGTGGCCTGCACCCTAATCCCTTAGTCCCTCCTCTCCTCCCAGACTGATCATGTGACAAAGCTGGCTTTTATTATCCACGATATATGCTTATTCACGTATCACTTTTACTCTATGGAAGAAAAATTGATTTCCATTCTAGGAGGATAAGGATGAGGGTTACTAAACACTAGAAGTTGTTCATCTCCTGGGCTTGTATCTTGCAGAGGACTACACAGAAAATCTGCTTCAGCTCCATGATGCCGAGATGGTGCGGTTAAGAAACTACTATGAGGTTCACAAAGAACTCTTTGAAGGTGTCCAGAAGTGGGAAGAAAGCTGGAGGCTTTTTTTGGATTTTGAGGTACCGCCCTAGCTTCTGTTTCCCTAGAGTGCGATCAAGTGTTAAGAAGGCCTGCCCTGGACAGTCAGAGTCCACTCTCCTTTGCCCTTTACCAGGCTTCTAAAACCCTCTCTTTATCAGTAAGTCTGAGTTACTGCTAACCTATCTGTACTTGTGAAGCTTATATGCAGGAACGTGGAAGAACAAAATTAATGCCTTAAGGTAGGAATTTCTTGCATGAAGGAAGTCTAGAGGTAGAGCATTCAGAGCAGGTATGGCTGTTCCACACTCAGTGGTGTCCCAGGCTTCTCCAGCCCACGGCTCCCCGACCACTAAGGAGTAGACCTTACCCCGACCACTAAAGGGTGGTCCGAAGTGGCTCTAGAGCCCCCACCCTTGCACTTCAAGCATTGCCCCTTCAGCCCTTCTAAGGGCTCTTTCCAATAAATATTAAGCTCCCCACACCAGCACTGGCGTGCCTGGGGCACCTGCTGCCACAGATAAATTCAGGTTCTCAGTACTAGTAGGAGGGAGAGAGTGGATGTTGGGGCAGGCAGTTAATATTCACTACCAGTCCAACTTTTGCTGTCTTCTTAGAAAGTTTGCCTGGGTATCAGGGCACATTTGTTTAGTCTGAATTCCTTTTCTTCCGGTAGACTGGGCACTCAAAGCATTTCAGAGCTCGGGACTGGGACTGGGTGAGCCACACAAGACATGTCAGAGCTCAAAGGGGTCCTGAGAGAATCCCGAGTTCAACTCCTTCAGGTTTATAGGTGGGAAACTAGGACTCACAGGTGGAGAGAGAGATACATGAGGTCTTACAGCTGTTTCAGAACAGACGTCCTAGTTCTCGGTTACTCCTTAACTTCTGGTTGAATGCAAGAAAGAAGAGTATTAAGCAAGTCTTGTTGATGTGCTGGTATTTAAGGAGATGAGAAACTGATTACTGTCCCTTTAGTTAGTGTTTAATAGACAGTCATCAATCAAGGGGTCTGGAAAGGAGATAGGATTTCTTTACAAGCTCAGCCCCCAGATTGTCAAGATTGTTTCTAAACTTTTCTGATGATCTGCTCCTACTGTTGAGTGTATAAACCTAATTTACACTTACAAATTACACATTTAGATTACTGTTCTGATATAATATATGCATGATAGAGGAACAAAAACCAGAAATGGGGGCACCTGGGTGGGTGGCTTAGTTAAGTGTCTGACTCTTGGTTTCAGCTCAGGTCATGATCTCATACTTGGTGAGATCGAGCCCTGCATCTGGCTCTGTCCTGACAGTGCAGAGCCAGCTTGGGATTCTCTGTCTCCCCCTCTCTCTCTGCCCCTCCCCTGTTCACAATCTCTCTCCTCTTTCTCAAGAATAAACATTGAAAAAAAATTTTTTTAAAGAGTAAGAAGCCTAACACTTTACATTTTAACTTGCCCATTTTGTGAGTGTTAATTTCATAAAAACCAGATTATGAACCTCTTAACTGGGCACATTTAACCTGCATCATTAGTATGCCAGAGCTGAGTGGGTACACAAGGTTGTCACCACCAAGCCCTCCGAGTGTAGATCTCTCCCTTGTCCCTCCAAATACCTCATTCCCTGTAGGTGACAAGTCATGTCTGACATCTGGACCAAGTAAGGGAGCCAGTGACATTGTGCACTCCATATTAAAGCTTACCTCACTCAGGGGCGCCTGGGTGGCGCAGTCGGTTAAGCGTCCGACTTCAGCCAGGTCACGATCTCACGGTCCGTGAGTTCGAGCCCCGCGTCAGGCTCTGGGCGGATGGCTCGGAGCCTGGAGCCTGTTTCCGATTCTGTGTCTCCCTCTCTCTCTGCCCCTCCCCCGTTCATGCTCTGTCTCTGTCTGTCCCATAAATAAATAAAAACGTTGAAAAAAAAAATAAAAAAATAAATAAAGCTTACCTCACTCTTAGATTAGAAAGGAACCGAACCATAGTCTTCCTGCACCCCAGTGGATGACCTCGCATATGCCCACAGAGCTCACACCCCACTCCCCTTGCCTTGGAATACCATCATTTGTCTCTGCTGCATTGGATGGAATACAGAACTCTCCTTAGTATGTAGTCTCCTTAGTATGGATCAGTTTACGAAAGCAAGGAATCTTAGCAGAAGTAACTGGTCTGACCATCTCAGGGCTTACTCTAATTAAAATCTATTTTTCACAGAGAAAAGCTTCAGATCCAAGTCGATTTACAAACCGCGGAGGAAATCTTCTAAAAGAAGAAAAGCAACGAGCCAAACTTCAAAAAATACTCCCTAAGGTAATATTGCCACTGAGAGTTTTTGTTGCTTGGCTACAAAACACCTTACTTTTTGTATATCCTTGGCTTTGAAACATCTTGCCCCAGAACCGTCTTCTCTTCTAAAGCTGTACAGGATAAGTACATACGGAGCCTTCCTCCTGACTGAATATCAAGGCTTAATAGCTTTCTAGGGCCGGTGTAGCAAAGTACCACAGACTGGCTGGCTTAAACAACACATTTATTTTTTCACAATTCTGGAGGCTATAAGTGTGAGATCAAAGTATCAGTAGGGTAGGTTTCTTCGTAGGCCTCTATCCTTGACTTGAGGATGACTTTCTTCCTCCCTATATTTTTCCATGGTCTTCCTTCTGGATGTATCTATGTCCCGATTTTTCTCTTACAAAGCTACCAGTCACATTGACCCTAATGACCTCATTTACCCTTTAACTTCATTACCTGTTTGTGGGAAAAAAAAAAAAAGTCACATTCTGAGGTATTGGGGGGTGGGGGTTAGGACTTAAATATGAATTTTGGGAGGATACAATTCAGCCTATACCAAAAGATAAACTTTTGAGAAAGTGCTGTGGGCTTTGTTACTGTTCTCTATTTTAATAGTAATAGTGTTTATTGAATTAAGTGCCAGATACTATTCCAAAGTATTTTCCATTTAGTCATTTCCATTAAAATTTTTTTTAATTTTTATTTATTAAAAAAAATTTTTTTTAACATTTATTTATTTTTGAGAGAGAGAGACAGAGCAGGGGAGGGGCAGAGAAAGAGGGAGACACAGAATCCGAAACAGGCTCCGGGCTCTGAGCTGTCAGCACAGAGCCCAATGTGGGGCTTGAACTCACAAACCATGAGATCATGACCTGAGCTGAAGTGGGACACTTAACTGACTGAGCCACCCAGGTGCCCCTTAATTAATTCATTTTAAATTTACATCTAAGTTAGTTAGCATGTAGTGCAGTAATGATTTCAGGAGTTGATTCCAGTGATCCATCCTCTATGTGTATAACACCCAGTGCTCATCCCAACAAGTGTCTTCCTTAATGCCCCTTCCCCATTTAGCCCGTCCTCTCACCCACGGCCCCTCCAGCAACCCTCAGTTCTCTGTATTTAAGAGTGTCTTGGGGCACCTGGGTGGCTCAGTCGGTTAAGCGGCCGACTTTGGCTCAGGTCATGATCTCGCGGTCCGTGAGTTCGAGCCCCGCATCGGACTCTGTGCTGACAGCTCAGAGCCTGGAGCTTGTTTCAGATTCTGTGTCTCCCTCTCTCTCTGACCCTCCCCCGATCATGCTCTGTCTCTCTCTGTCTCAAAAATAAAATAAACATTAAAAAAAATTTTTAAAAAAAATTAAAAAAAAAAAAAAGTGTCTTATGTTTTGCCCCCCTCCCTGTTTTTATACTATTTTTGCTTCATCTGTTCATCTGTTTTGTATCTTAAATTCCACATGCATGAAGTCATTTATTTGTCTTTCTCTAAGTTCACTTAGCATAATACTTTCTAGTTCCATCCACATTGTTGCATATGGCAAGATTTCATTCTTTTCGATTGCCGAGTAATACTCCGTTGTATATATAGACCACATCTTCTTTAGCCATTCATCCATCGATGGACATTTGGGCTCTTTCCGTACTTTGGCCATTGTTGAGAGTGCTGCTATAAACATGGGGGTGCACGTGCCCCTTTGAAACAGCACACCCGTATCCCTTGGATATATACCTAGTAGTGTAATTGCTGGGTCGTAGGGTAGTTCTATTTTATTCATTTCCGTTTTTATGCATCAGGAGACTGAGGCCCTGAGAACTTAGGTAACTTTTCATAGCCTGTAAGAGGTAGATTCTAGATCGGGACCCAGATTGGAGTGCTCTTAATATACATCGTGGTTTTTTTTTTAATATATATATTTTTTTAACGTTTATTCATTTTTGAGAGAGAGAGACAGAGCACGAGCAGGGAAGGGGCAGAGAGAGGAAGAGTGACAGAATCTGAAGCAGGCTCTAGGCTCCGAACTGTCAGCACAGAGCCGGACGCGGGGCTTGAACTCATGAACTGCGAGATCATGACCTGAGCCTAAGTGGGATGCTCAACCGACTGAGCCACCCAGGCGCCCCATCATGTACATTGTTCATTTAATGTTGCTCGTCCCCCCAGTGCCTCCAGCTTTAAGCACCAAAACCCAGTTAGACTCTGGGTTCTTGCTGTTTCCCACCTTCATGTGTGTTACGAATAAATCGTCCCTAGGATTTGCTTCCTGGTCACTCTGACCTGGGCCCACGTGAGTCCAGCTACCTGAAATTAGGCTTACGTGCTCTGGGGCGGGAGTCTTCCTTTGGGAGAATACTTTCATTCGGGCTTCATACCAAGGATTTGAAGTGATTAACATTTCTTTCTTTATGGTCTCAGCTGGAAGAGGAGCTGAAGGCACGGATTGAAATGTGGGAACAGGAGCATTCGCAGGCATTTGTGGTGAATGGGCAGAAATTCATGGAGTATGTGACAGAACAATGGGAGATGCATCGAATGGAGAAGGAGCGAGCCAAGCAAGAGAGAGTAAGTGAGCACAGTGTGGGCAAGAGGACGATGGTAATGTGAGTAGCCCAGGGTCTCTTCCAGGGATCTGGGTTGGCTGAAGGGCTAGCCCACCGCACCTCTTTGAGCTCTGGGTTCAGGCACTTGGCTCTAGATATCTGGCCCAGCTTCTGCCCCATCCCAGACCTGTTCCTTTCCTGGGAGTTTTCACTGTTCCTTCTGACTTTCATACAGCAACTAAAGAACAAGAAGCAGACAGAGACAGAGATGCTCTATGGCAGTGCTCCCCGAACCCCCAGCAAGCGGCGAGGACTGGTACCCAACACACCGGGCAAAGTGCGCAAGGTGAACGTGAGGCTTTGTGAACCACCGTTTGTGAGGGGTTGTTGGGGCTGGGGCTCTTGGCCACCTTTCGCCTTCTGCCCTGTAGATGGGAAAGGGCTTTGGGGACCTTCCAGGTTGAGTCCATCTGAAAGTGTGACCAGAAGGCAGTACTTAATCCCAAGTAATAACTTGATAATGACAGTCAAGGACCTGGCTTCGATGTGTGCCTGTGGTTGAGGTCTTGGATTAATCTTGGGAGACCATAACTGTCACCATTCCGTAATGATGAAGACCTTCAGAGGTTCATCCTAGAATTCCAACAAGTGACAATGATATTCTGTGAGAGCCTTTCATGTTTAGTAAATGGGATAGTTTAACTTTTCCTTTGATAAATAGAGCAGTATTTCCTTTCTCTTTCCTCAGCTCATATTTATAACCAATAGATCTTTTAAAAAGCACCTGCAGGGGCACCTGGCTGGCTCAGTTAGAATGTGCAACTCTTAATCTCAGGGCCGTGAATGGAGCCCTGCGTTGCAGGGAGTTTAAAAAAAAAAAAAAAATCACCTGTAGTGTAACTCCAAGAGAACTATTGAGAGTATTTTTTTTTCTGCTTTTTAATTTTTGAAAATGTTTACTTATTTTTAAGAGAGAGCACGAGCAGGGGAGGGGCAGAGAGAGAGGGAGACACAGAATCTGAAGCAGGCTCCAAGCTCTGAGCGGTAAGATCAGAGCCCGACTCAGAGCTCCAACTCCCATACCATGAGATCATGACCTGAGCTGAAGTCAGACACTTAACTGAGCCACCCAGGTGCCCGTTTTTCCTCGTTTTTAAATAATGTATTTTTACAAAATAGAGGTCACATATGATTTGGATTTCTGCCTTTCCCCTAGTTGGTATTGGTTGTGGTTCTTTTTTCATAGTATCAAACTTTCTTCAAATACATGCTCGTTATTAGCTGTATATTCTATTCTCTTGACATACCATCATTTATTAAACTAGTTCCCTATTGTTGATAGATTTTACTTTATTTTTGATTAAAAAATTTTTTTTAATGTTTATTTTTGAGAGATAGACAGCATGAGTGGGAGAGGGGCAGAGAGAGAGAAGGAGACACAGAATCCAAAATATGCTCCAAGCTCTGAGCTGTCAGCACAGAGCCTGATGCAGTGCTCAAACTCACTAACCGTGAGATCATGACCCAAGCCAAATTCCAATGCTTGACCGACTGAGCCACCCAGACGCCCCACTTTCTGTTTTTAGGGAGACGGAGACAGTGCAAGTGACACGGGGTTGGGGGAGCAGAGAGAGGAGACAGAAAATCCCAAGTCTGATGAGCTCTAACTCACAAAAGCATGAGACCATAACCTGAGCTGAAACAAGAGTTGGATGCTTAACTGAGCCACCTAGGTGCCCCAATATTAGATATTATAAAGATTTTATTTTTAAGTAATCTCTACATCCAATGTGGGGCTCAAACTCATAACCCTGAGATAAGTCACACACTCTACTAAGCCAGTCAGGCACCCCATAATAGGTAGTTTTTTTATTATGAAAATCATGTGATGGGGCACCTGGGTGGCTCAGTTGGTTAAGCATTTGACTCTCACTTTCGGCTCAGGTCATGATCTCATAGCTCAGGAGTCTAAGCCCCGCATGGGGCTCCACGCTGACAGGGCAGAGCCTGCTTAGGATTGTCTCTCTCTGCTCCTCCCTGGCATGCATGTGCACAAGAGCGCTCTCTCTCAAAATAAACTTAAAAAAAATGTGATAAGCTTTTAAAAACCTAGAACACTAAAAATCAATTATAGAAAGATCTGTTTTAATTAAAAGTTTGCAGACCTCTGTGCTACATGCTGAGCATAAAAGAGAAGCGAGAGGCCCTTGCTCTCGAGAGTGAAGTGAGGGGCGCCCGGCTGGTAGAGCAGCTCTGGATCTCCAGGTTGTGAGTTTCAGGCCCATACTGGGTATAAAGATTGCTTAAAAATAAAATCTGAAAGTTTCCTCTAATCAGACATTTCTGAAGCCCTAGTTGCACTGATTAATGATCTGTGCTGCCAGTGCCTAAGTGTCAGACTCTGATCCTTGTTAACAGGTGATACTTTCATACTTTGTCTTTGTCCATCTGAGGGTATGAAGTTCTGTCTCATGATTTTAGTTTGTATCTCCCTCCTTAACTAATGGAAATTGAACCTTTTGCCATGTCTACCGGCAGCATTTGTGTCTTGTGTAGTTTGTGTTTTTACTCTTTATGGTGTTTTGTTGATGAACGAAAAGTGTTTTATGGTTTTGTTTGTTCACTTTATTTAAAAAAATTTTTTTTTTAAGAGAGAAAGCACAAGTAGGGGCAGAGAGAGAGGGAGAGAGAATTCCAAACAGGCTCCACACTGTCAGTGCAGAGCTGGACATGGGGCTCGAACCCACAAACCATGAGATCATGACCTGAGCTGAAATCAAGAGTCAGATGTTCAACCAACTGAGCCACCCAGGTGCCCCCAGTTTGCATTTCTAACGTTTAAAAAATTTTTTCTTTACATTTATTTATTTTTGAGAGACACATTACAAGTGGGGGAGGGGCAGAGAGAGAATGAGACACAGAATCTGAAGCAGGTTCCAGGCTCTGAGTCATCAGCACAGAGCCCAATGCGGGGCTTAAACTCACAAACTGTGGGATCATGACCTGAGCTAAAGTCGGACGCTTAACCAAATGAGCCACCCAGGTGCCCCTCTTAACATTTTATACAAATACAATTATACAGTATGTATTCTTCTTTTGGTTTGGCTTCTCTCGTTTAGCATAGGTTTTTTTGAGATTCATCTATGTTGTTAAAAATAGGCCACTCCTTTTTACTACCGAGCAGTATTCCATTGCACAATTTGCTTATCCATTTGCCTGTGGATGGACACTTGGCTTGTAGGCAGTGTTTTGGCTATTACAGATAAAGCTGCTCTCTATATATGTATAGGTCTTGGTAGGGATATCTGCTTTCATTTCTCTTGGGTAAATACCTAAATATGATAGAATTACAAACAAAATGGCTACCATTTTATAGTGCAGTCCGGATAGAAATACTTTCAACACTTGTCACAATTTTCCTCAAAGCTCTTAACCATGTAAACCCATCTTTCTTAGACTATTTCCCATACTCCTTTCTCTATAGTGTAGGGATGGGCTGCCAGGCATGTTACCCCACCTCCGTAATCTCTGTTCTTCCCCTTAGCTGAACACTACCACCATGTCCAACGCTACGGCCAACAGCAGCATTCGGCCTGTCTTTGGGGGGACAATCTACCGCTCCCCTGTGTCTCGACTTCCACCTTCTGGCAGCAAGGTTAGTATGTATGCTCCGTGTACAAGGGACATCCCCAGCACACCTCCAGCCCATTTACCCAGGGGCCCCACCTCGTCGTTCGAGTTTCTGAGAACCCTGGATTCGGTTTTCAGTGAGATGCTGTGAGTAAGCCAGCTTATCTGCCAAAAAAAGAAACCAACAACAACAAAATACACCCAGCGGTCATTCTGAACCCCGGTAGTATCATGGGAATCACCGGGATGTAACTAGGTTCAGTGCAAAGCCTGGTCTTCAGCTGCTGCTGAGTGAGGTCCCTGTGTGTGGGTTCAAGCCCAGTGACACTGGATCACTAGACAGAATCGATGTGAGGTGGGGAATCTGTGCTAAGTGTGTCTTCCAAGTATTCTACAGATTATGCTCAAGATAGGTATTTTGCAAGTCATTAAGAATTCATGTATTTTTTGAAACCACAAGTAGAGGATTATAGGCCCATGAATAACAAAGACGGTATCAGCCTTTAGCCATTTGCGTGTGTGTGTGTGTGTGTGGGGGGGGGGGGGTCATTATGAGGATGGTGCGCGGATCTCTCTCTTTCCCTTCTCTGCAGCCGGTCGTCACTTCCACTTGTTCGGGGAAAAAAACGCCCCGTGCTGGCAGGCATGGAACCAACAAGGAGAACCTGGAGCTCAACGGCAGCATCCTGAGTGGTGGGTACCCTGCCTCGGCCCCCCTCCAGCGCAACTTCAGCATTAATTCTGTTGCCAGCACCTATTCTGAGTTTGCGGTAATTCACCTTTTCTAATATCTGCCAGTCTCTGGGGAGCACACAGTTGGGGCAGAGTGGGTATCTTCCCAAGGGCACCCAGGCCGTGAGGACAGTTCTTTGGAGGCTGAGAATCCCTTTCCTGCCTTGACCATGGCATGGGGCGGGCTGGTTTAAGGAGCATACAAGAAGGGAGTTGGCAGCAGCAACTAGATGTTTAGCCTGGATCCTTCTGCTTCAGAAATACCATTCCCTGGCTGCAGGAGGTGACCCTCTGACCACGGCCCTGGTGCTCTCTTGGTGGAGTTCTTGGTAATTGTCTTAATTCTTTGTTCTTAGAAGGATCCGTCCCTCTCTGACAGCTCCACTGTCGGGCTTCAGGTCTGTATGGCAACCCCTGCATGTCCCATGTCCGCTTTCCAAACTCACCTGTCACATCTGCTGGCTTAATTCCCGTCTGGGCACGGGGCTACACTAACCAATAATCTCAGCTGTACTACCACAGAACCTTTTTTTGACAAAGGAGAAGTCCTAATGCGGACCTCAAGGATATCTGGCTTCAGTCCCAAGAGACTAATCTGCTGATTAACAAGAAAACTTGTTCAGACTTGAATTGGATTCTCAGCCCTACCTAAAGTCAGGCAAATTTTTTTTTTTTTTTTTTAATCCTGTCTTTCACAACAGAAGACCTTCACCCTCCCCAGTTGTGACATCAGAGGCCTCCAATGTGCCGGAAAGAATAGAGGCCCCATCACGTGGGGAGGGGAGCCCCAGCTGTGTGCTGCCCATCATGAGGTTCTTGGCCTGTGTGCTGATTGTTTCCTGGAGTATATGACTTACTAACCCCTTAGGGCTGAATTGCCAACTTTCTGTCTTCTGTGAGCTAGCCAGTGTTCATTTCCTTGCCTCTGCCTGTTTCTACCTCATTAAGCTGCTAAAGCATATATGTGGCATTGGGAGATTTTTCCAGATGCTCTTTAGTTCCTAGTAACCTACTCCGTGTTTACTAACACTTAACTGCAGTGCCCTTTACTTACCAGTGTGCGTTCTCTCTGCCCTCCGTATCTTCCTGCTGGGAAGCGAGGCTGTTCCTCCCCGTGGGTGAGGGGATATGGCATTAAAGCCATGGTGCCCGCTCTTACGGCTGCAGTGACAGAACGGGGCAGTTGCCCAAGGCAAGAGCTTGTTTTGAGCATTGAAACAGTTTCATATTATGGCCCTTGTTTCAAATTAAATGATTGGTATGGTTTTATATATAGAAGCGTACGTTGCTCTGGCTAGCTGATTGCTGGACAGAGGGTCCAACTTTCTCTTCCTTGCTTGTTTAGCCAAGCCCCGTATCGTGCCCGTGGGGCTTAAATGTACCCTGCTTATCTCTAATCTGGTTTTGGCTGCTTTGGCTGGTAACAGACTCCACCAGGCGGCACCAAAGCCGGTAGACTAACCTTTACTAACCTCTTGCTCAGTGGTATTCGTGCTTTATCTTCTTTTCCATGTGCTCCAGCATGAGATCATATCACCAGCAGGTTACAAGGCCCTCAGCCCCAGGGATTGGTAGATAAAGGTCTGGCCCCTTGTTTTATTCAGGGCTCAAAAGACCAAAGGTTGTTGCCTGCCTAGCTTGACCACTCAATAGAGTACTTTGTGAAACTTGAGGGACTGCTATCCTGTGAGGTTGTAACAGAACGAACGGGCTAAGGACGAGGTCCCGGGCATACGTGTGCACATGCTTAATCTCTGACTAATAGAACGGGGCTCAGAGCCTCTCATCTTGTGTTCCTAACAACCTGTGCCGGAGAGGGACCTCTGTCTCAGAGAAACAGCCCTCAGGGGACCTTGTGCTGACATTTACCCATGCTTACAAGGGCGGGGCATGCAGAGGAGGGACAGTACTGCCACTGACATTATTTATTTTTCAACAGCGAGAACTTTCAAAGGCTTCCAAATCTGATGCTACTTCTCGAATCCTCAATTCGACCAACATCCAGTCCTGAGAGGCCCTGAGCGGTCAGCCAGCTGTGGCTTCCTGTGCCTAGACTAGATCTAATTATCTATGTGGCTTTCATTTTTCTTGAGTTTAGGTGTGCTTGAGAATCTGGACAGGTTCCACTACCACGGGCCTAACTTACAGAAGTGAATGAGTGTCACAGAGCAAAGTCCATCATAGGCTTAGTGGGTCTTCAAAGACTTGATTTTGTTTTGACCCAAGAAATACATTAAAACTTAGTTCATAGCAGTAAGTGCAAATTTTAGCAAATGGAACCTAATTTTTCTCTACCCCGTAATTCTGCTTGCTGAAACACGAGCAAGGGCGTGTCGTCTTTCACCACGGTGTGGGAAAAGGAGTGTGCCGGTCCTTGGGGTAGGGACCTGAAGCAATAGTGGCTCGTAGGCTGTCACTAGTAATTAACATCTTTTTTGTTGAGGGACGCTGAGTTAACGCTCTGGCTACAGTAGCTTTGCTCTCACCTAAAGATCTGTCTCCGCCACACAGGACAGCCTTCCTCCTGCTGAGGATGTGTGTGTGTCAGAAGTGGAGATGGCCTGACCTACTGCCAAAGAGGTGACAGGGAGGCTGGGAACTCCTTTGTTAAACTGTGTACAGTTCTGTTATTGTGCAATGCCCTTTGTGGGGACGAGTGTGTGAACACGTGCCTGTCTGAACTCTGTTTCTGCAGTTTTCCTCTGGGTTGAGTCCCGCCATCCCTCTGCCCGCTCGGTCCGAGTTCATCTACCCCGGCAGTTGCCGAGTTGGGAGGCTCTTTGGATGGGTTGGGCCATTTCTGTTGTGGAGATCTGGAACTTTGCACAAATCAGTATTGGGGAGTTGTTTCTGCTCCAGCGTCCACGTCTTTACCTACCCTACTGATCACTACTGCTCTCCCCAAAGCACTATTTATTCTTACCTTGTCTGCCTCTGTCAGCACGTTCAATGGTTCTCAAAACTCACCAGCATGGATTTGGTCTGTGTCCGCCATGCTGCTTAGACGTATACATGTCCTGTTTTTAAAATATAAATATATTCTTAAAAATAAATTAAAATGTGTATACTTACCTTTCAAAAAGATATATTGTTTTTTTTCTCCCCGGCCAAATCACTTTTTGGTTGCTTTGGTCTGTGGAAAACAGAAAAGACTAAAAAGAAAATATAAGATTTTTTTGTTGGGAGTATTGTTTTATGTTCTGTGCATTTATTTCTAAATATTTCTTGAGAAAAAGTCCAATTCCTGATATGTAAATTTCCATTTGCACTGCTCTCTGTCCCTAACAGGACATCTTTTATAGGCCTGGCTTTTGGTTTTTTAACAGCCTTTATTTTTATTAGAAAATAAATGCCCATTTACAGTGTACACTTGGATAAATTTTGACACAGTTTCACACACTTGTGAAACCATCACCACAATCCAGTTTCTGAACATAACCGTTACCCCCAAAATTTCCTCCTGCCCCTTTACAGTTTTCCCCTCCCCACCCCTACCAACCATTTATCTGCTTTGTATCACTGTGGAGGAGTTTGCATTTTCTAGAGTTTTAGCTAAGTAGAATCCTGCAGTATATATTCTTTTTGGGGTTTTTTTTTTTTGTGGGTTTTTTTTCCAATATATGAAGTTTATTGTCAAATTGGTTTCCATACAACACCCAGTGCTCATCCCAAAAGGTGCCCTCCTCAATACCCATCACCCACCCTCCCATCAACCCTCAGTTTGTTCTCAGTTTTTAACAGTCTCTTATGCTTTGGCTCTCTCCCCCTCTAACCTCTTTTTTTTTTTTCCTTCCCCTCCCCCATGGGTTTCTGTTAAGTTTCTCAGGATCCACATAAGAGTGAAACCATATGGTATCTGTCTTTCTCTGTATGGCTTATTTCACTTAGCATCACACTCTGCAGTTCCACCCATGTTGCTACAAAGGGCCATATTTCATTCTTTCTCATTGCCACGTAGTACTCCACTGTGTGTAGAAACCACAATTTCTTTATCCATTCATCAGTTGATGGACATTTAGGCTCTTTCCATAATTTGGCTATTGTTGAGAGTGCTGCTATAAACATTGGGGTACAAGTGCCCCTATGCAGGGGGCTGGCTCTTTTGACTTTGATTTTGAATTTCATCCGTATTGTTGTGTCCATATTTCTTTCCTTTTTATGGTTGAGTCCTATTCCGTGGTATGGGGAGACCACAGTTTATTCACTTTTTATGTTTATTCACATTTGGCTTGTTTCCAGTTTAGGGCTATTAAAAATAAAGCTGCTGTGAACGTTCACGTACAAGTCTTTGTATGGAGCTGTACTTTTTGGGGGGTAAATACCAAGGAGTGGAACAGCTAGGTCAGATGAATGGTAGCTCTACGTTTGTCTTCCAAAGTGGTTGAACTATTCTATGTTCTCACCAGTAACAGATGAAGGTTTCAGTTCCTCTACCTCTTCTCTACTACTTGGTATTGTTTTTATAATTTTAGCCATTTTAGGAGATAGGAGGCAATATCTCATTGTAGTTTTAATTTGCGCTACCCTAATGACGTCAAGCATCTTTTCACGTGCTTATTTGGCCATCCTTACCTTGTTTGGGCAAGTACCTATTCGCGCTTTTTGCCCATTTTAAAAACTGGGTTGAGTTTTGAGAGTTCTCTATCCAAGCATGCCTCAGATAATGCAGGTTTGGTTCTAGACCACCACAATAAACCAAGTCAAATGAATTTTTTTCGTTTCCCAGAGCATGCAGAAGTTAATAAACTACTACAGGATAGTGAAACCTTAAGTGTGCAATAGCATTAGTTCTAAGGAAAAAAAAAAGTACTTACCTTAATTAAAAAATACTTTATTGCTAAAATAGCTAATAGCCATCATGAGCTGTAAGTCATAATCACTCATCACAGATCACCAAGTATGAAATATTGAGGGAATTACCAAAATAGGACACAGAGACCAGAAGTGAGCAAACTGTGTTGGAAAAATGGCGCGGAGAGACTTGATGGATGCAGGTTGCCACAAACCTTCAAGCTGTAACAAACACAGTATCTGCGAAGTGTGATAAAATGAGGCATGCGTGTATGCTTTGGATACAAGTCTGTTGGTCCCGTTTTGCAAAGATTCTCTCTCAGTCTGTGGCTTCTCTTTCCAGTCTTTTAACAGTGTCTTTGAAGAGCAGAGGTTTAAGTTTGATGAATTCCGTTTTTCTTTGGATTGTGTTTTTGTTGTTCTAAGAAACCATTACCTAACCCAAGAGGTAAAGGTTTTCTAGAAGTTTAAAATCTCAAGTTTTGTGTTTATGTCTGTGATCCATTTTGGCTCTGTGTGTACCCATGTATATGGCTCCAGCTAGGACTTTCAGTTCCTTTTCTTTGCATATAGATATCCAGTTTCAAGCAACATTAGTTGAAAAGGCTGTCCCTTTCTCCACCGTATTGCTTTTGTACCTTTGTCAAAAATCAGTTGCCTTGAGTTTCTGTTCCATTGATCCATTTGTCTTAATGGCCATACGACATGGTCTCGATTACTGTAGATTTATACTAATTCTTGAAATTAGGTAGTGTTAGCTTTCCAATTTTATACCTGTAAAAGTTACTTTGGCTGCTCCAGGTCCTTTGCTTTTTCAGATGAATTTCTGAATTAGCTTGTCAGTTTCTACAAAAGAATCTAGCGTTATTGAATCTATTGATCAATTTAGGGAGAAGTGACCTACCCATTTATTTAGCTCTTCTCTCAGCAGTATTTTATAGGTCATATATCCAGATCTTTCACATCTTTGTCAGATTTATCCCTAAGTAGTTCATATTTCTTGATGCCACTGTGAGATTTTTAACTTACAATTTCTGGTTATTGCCTGCCTGTAGGAACACAGTTGATTTCTGTATATTGCTCTTATATTCTGAAACCTTGCTAAACTCACTTATTAAAAGAAAAATAAGGGGCACCTGGCTCAGTTGGCGTATGCAACACTTGATCTTGGGGTCCTGAGTTCGAGCCCCTTGTTGGGTGTAGAGATTACTAGAAATAAACTTAATTTAAAAGAAAAAAAAAAAAGAGGAAAAAATACCCTCTTAATCAATTGGCTCTGCTTTGTGGACCATTCCTTCATGGCTCAGCCAGGCTATTCACACTCTGTTTCAGCCTCTACTTTTTTTTTTTTTTTTTAGAGAGAGTGAAAGAAAGGGGCAGAGTTTGGGGAAGGAGAATCCTTAGCAGGCTCCACTCTCAGCATAGAGCCCAACACGGGGCCCCATCCCACAATCCTGGGTTCATGACCTGAACCAAATCAACAGTCAGACGCTCAACCGACTGAAGCACCCAGGCGCCCCTCAGCCTCCACTTCTGCTTGTGTGGAGCCTGAAGATGAGCCAGAGTGAGAGCTGAGTGATTTGTCAGGCCTTTCCTGGAGTACATCAGCACTGGGCATGGGCTACATTTCCCCAGTTCATCATTATGCCTGTGGGAGCTCGGAAAGGCCTTTCCCTAAGTATCTCCTTTCCCAACTTTTTCTTTCCAGTCTTCTTATAGGTCTGTTGCTTGTCCCAACAATCGTCCCTTGTCCAAGTTGCTGCAGCCAATTCCAGGGCCAGGGAACACTTTTGGCCAGAGCCACCCAGCCTTGGGAACAGAGTCTGGCAAAACAAAGGCCAGCCCTTAGGTTGGTCTTTCAGGCAAGTGCCAGATGTGTTGAAGCCCACAGTCCCGAAGCTTTGAGAAGGACTATATTCCTCCCGCTGGGGCTAACAGCACGCACCAAAACCGTGAGCTCTTGTCCTCCTTACGGCCCCCCACGTGCGGTGTAGTAGGCAGGCAACTGGAAACGTCCTAGCACACTCCACCGCAAAGCATCCGCTTCTTTCTTCCCTGGGTCGTGGGAAGTTTTTGACTAGATTTCTAGAGTTCTGCAAAAGTAGATTCTGACGGTTTCCACCACCAGTTCGTTAGCTGCTTTTGTGGAAAGGCAGAGCCTTGGAGTTCCCTACACCATTTTCAGTGACGTCCCAATTCTAAGTGTTTATACACCTAAAATGGCTTTGAAATATAACAAAGCAAAACTGATAGAACTGAAAGGGAAAAATGGACAAATCTGCCATTAGACTTCACTTTTCTCAGTAATGATAGAACTGGATAAAAAATAGTCAAGGCTATAGAGAAAACAATTCCCACCAATAACCGGTTGGACCCAGTTGTAGAACAACATCCAGCAACAGCAGAAACGTTCTTTTGCAAAGTGCATATGGAACAGTCATGAAAATAGACCATAGTCTGGGGCATAAACCTTAAGTTTTTAAAAACTTTAAATGATGCGGGCACCTGGGTGGCTCAGTCGGTTAAGCATCCAACTATTGGTTTTGGCTCAGGTCATGATCTCACTGTTCGACAGTGTGGAACCTGTTTGCGATTCTCTCTCTCCCTCTTGCCCCCCCCCCCCCACCACGCTCCCTCTTTCAAAATGAATTAAAACAAATCTTAAGAAAAATTTAATTCCATTAAACTTAACTATAACAAACTCTCAGAAAATGCCCCAATGCTTGGCAATTAGATAACACATCTAAATGATACAGAAAGGAAAGGAATTTTCAAAGGAAATTTGCAGACATTGTAAACTGAAAAAAAAAAAAAATACTACATATCAACATTTGAGATGCAGCTAAAGCAATAGAGGAAATGTTACAGTATTAAATGCTTATCTTAGAAGAAAAGTCTCAATGCAATGAGTTTCTATGTTAAGAAACTAAAAACAACAAAATAACCTGAAAAGGAGAAAGGAAGTAAATAAACATAAGAGCAGGAAGGGGGAGTAGGGGCGCCTGGGTGGCGCAGTCGGTTAAGCATCCGACTTCAGCCAGGTCACGATCTCGCGGTCCGGGAGTTCGAGCCCCGTGTCAGGCTCTGGGCTGATGGCTCAGAGCCTGGAGCCTGTTTCCGATTCTGTGTCTCCCTCTCTCTCTGCCCCTCCCCCGTTCATGCTCTGTCTCTCTCTGTCCCAAAAAAATAAATAAACGTTGGAAAAAAAAAAAAAAAAACCTAAGAGCAGGAAGCAATAAAATTGAAAAGACCAAAGCAATATAGAGGAAATAAATAAAAAATCGGATTCTTAAAAAAAAAAAAAAAAGTAAACTTTTAGTGATAAGGAAAGAAAGGAAATAACACAATATCAAGAATGAAAGTAGGACTATCACTGTAAATTTTTTAATGTTTATTTTTGAGAGAAAGACAGAACATGAGCAGGGGAGGAGCAGAGAGAGAGGGAGACACAGAATCCAAAGCAGGCTCCAGGCTCTGACCTGTCAGCACAGAGCCCGATGTGGGGCTTGAACCCACAAACCATGAGATCATGACCCGAGCCGAGGTCAGATGCTTGACCGACTGAGCCACCCAGCCACCCCAAGGGCTATCACTATAGTCTCCACAAACCTGAAAGGGATCATGAGTGACAGTTACAAACTCTCTGCATAGAAATTTTGACAACTTAAGCAGATAAATTCCTTGAAAGACACAAATAACCAAACTCACCCCAAAAGGAAGAATCGGAATAGTCCTATAGCAATCAAAGAAATTTAACCCATCATTAAAACCCTGAAAATGAAAACTCTAGGCCTAGACAGCATTATTGGTGGATTCTACTAAACATTTAAATTAGATGGAACACCAATTCTATGCAATTTCTTCCAGAAAACAGTAGACCTACCACTTTTCATTCATTTTATGAGAATGACTCTGGTACCAAAACCACAGAAACACGAAACAAACCACAGACTAATATCCTTTGTGAACAGATACAAAAATCCTTAATATTAGCAAATTGAATCCAAAAACATAAAAGAATACATCATGACAAAGTAGGGTTTACCCCAGCAAGACAAGGCCGGCTTGGGAATGTAAGATAGGACCCAGAAGTTTCACTCCTAGGTATTAATACCCAATTGAAAACATGTTTGGGGTGTCTGGGTGGCTCAGTCAGTTGAGCATCCAACTCAGCCTCAGGTCACCATCTCACAGTTTGTGGAATGGAGCCTTGCATTGGGCTCTGCACGGACAGCCTGATTGGAGTTCTCTCTCTCCCTCTGCCCCTCCCCACTCGTGCTCTCTCAAAATAAACTTTAAAAAAAGGTGGCAGGATATATATATTTTTTTAATGTTCCTACAAAAACACATACACAAATGTTTACATTATTCCTCATAGCAAAAAAGTGGAAACCACTCAACTGTTCATCAGTTGACAGAAAGATGAACAAAATGAAGTATCTCCACCCAGAATATTATGCAGCATAAAAAGGAATCCATGTGGGGCACGTGTGGCTGGCTCAGTCGGTTAAGTGTCTCTTGGTTTCAACTCAGGTCATGATCTCAGGTTTCTGAGTCCAAGCCCCACGCTGGGCTCTGCACTGACACTGTGGAGCCTGCTTGGGATTCTCTATCTCCCGCTCCCACACATTCAAATTAAAAAAAAAAAAAAAAAAAGGAATACATGCTACAACATGGATGAACCTTGAGAACATTGCTAAGTCTAAGAAGCCTGACGCAAAAGGCCCTATGTTGTAGGATTCCATTTATATGAAACCCCTAGAGGAGGCAAATCCTTACGAAAAGAAAGTCGATTAGTGGTGCCAGGGACAAGAGGTCAATGGGCAGTGACTACTAATTGGTAAGAGGTTTCTTTTGGGGGTGATGAAGATGTTCTGAAATTCAATTGTGGTGATGGGTTGTTGCACAACATTGTGAAGGGACTAAAAGCCACTGAACCGTGTCGTGGCTCCGTCGGTTAAGCGCCCAACTCTTGACTCGTGGTTCAGGAGATCAAGCCCCATGTTGGGCTTGAGGCTGACAGCGCAGAGCCTACTTGAGGTTCTCTCTGTCTCTGCCCCTCCCTCTTGCACATGCGTGCTCTCTCTCAAAATAAACTTTTTAAAATAAGTAAAAGGGTGAATTCTACAGTATGTGAATTATGTATAATTTTTCAAAACCAGTGTAATCTACCATATTAACCAAAAAAAACCCACGTGATCCTATCAATTGATGTAGGAAAAGCATTTGACAAAATTTATGATAAAATTTTCCAGAAAATGAGGAATAATAGAGTTCCTTAACCTGATAAATTGCATCTACCAGAGTCAACTTACAGGTAACATATAAAACTAACCACTGGATGTTTTCCTCGTAAGATTACAAATAAGGCAAAGCTGTGTACTTGTACTCCTCCTATTGAATAGTATACTGGAATTCCTAACCAGTGCGATAAGGCAAGAAGAAATAAGTGACACACAGATTGGAAAAAAGAAATGAAACCATCTTCATTCACAGGGATCATGGTTGTGTAGATCCCAAGGAACCTACCTACAAAAAGCTCCAATTAGTTCCACAAGGCTATAGGATACAAGGTTTACCTACAGAATTAACCTCATTTCTACATACTATGTAATCAACAATTAAAACTAAAATTTGCAAAAGAGCATTTAAAAGAACTCCAAAACAAATACCTAGGTACAAATCAAAACCTGTTATCTGTATGCTGAAAACTGCAAACTACTGATGAAAGGGACAAGACCTGTTTCAATAGACATACTGTGTTCTTGGGTTGGAATCCTCAGCAAAGTGAGACAGCAGTCCTCCCCAGTGGTCTGTAGAGCTCATGTAATTCCAGCAGATAAGCTAACACTAAACTTTATATGGAAACACCAACGAGAACAGCCAAAGGATTTTTAAAAGAACCAACTTGGAGGCTGGTTCTATCACCCTTTCTCATCTGAGGCTAGCCTGTGCTACTGATGAGTGAAAAGACAGAAACATAGGTCAGTGAACAGAACAGCGAGTCTAAAATGACCCACGCAAATATGGTCAAATGGTTTTTGAAAAAGGTGTAAAGACAAGATAGGATAGTGTTTTTAACAGAGGGTGTTGAATAATTGGATATTCTTATGCAATAAAAGGGAGCTATAGCTATGCCTCACTCACTCCTCTTGAGGCAAAAATTAACCCCCAAAGATCAAAACACAAAATCTACTTTTCGAAGAAGAAAAAAACACTCATGGTATTTGGCCAGGCAAAGTTCTTAGTTAGGACATCAAAAACATGATCCATAAAAGAAAAAAAATTGGTAAGTTGGACTTGAACTTTTAGACTTGCTTTGCATGAGATACTTATAGACCAAAGAGACAAACCGCCAACTAGGAGCAAGTATTTGCAAATCATGTATCTGATAAAGGACGTGTATCCAGAATATATAAAGAACTTCCAAAACTTAAGAAACAGCTGGACTACAGGAGGGGGAAGGGTACAAGCCCTATCAGAACAAAATATCCTACACAAAGCTTCTGTGGTGCAATGGGGTACAGATCAGAAAGTCTAGAAATAGACCCAAACACATACAGAACTTAGGTAGAGGACAATGCTGGCATCGCACGTCCCTGGATGTGGGGATAAGGGCCAGCCATCGGAAAGAGGATACAAAGGAGGCAGAAAGTAGAATGATGGTTGCGGGGGGTGGGGGTGGGGGGCAGGTACCAGGAGCTCGTGTTTAATGGGGATAGAATTTGTGTAGAGAGTTTAAAAAAGCCCTGGAGGTGGATGGTGCTCGTTGGACAACAATGTGAACGTATTTAATACCACTGAATTATACACTTAACATAAAATTTACCACTTAACCATCTGTAAGTATATTTTACCACAAGAAGAAAAAAAGTATCTTAAAGGCCTCCCCCACAGTCAGAAAATTTTCTTAAATCACCTACATACACACAAATTAACATCAAAGGAAATGCTGATGAAGTTGAGCACATTAAGAACTCATGTTCGTCAAAATAAGGTATTTGTAAAGCACCCTGAGCATTGCCTGGCACAGAGTAGCACCACATACATGTTTAAAACAAATGGCAAACATCAAAAGATACCGGAGCCTGAGAAAACGGCGGCGGATGACACTTTGAACCCGTAACTATTAAGGGACTTGCGGCTAACATTTACGAGGCAAACAAGTCACTACGAAAAATACAGAAAACTTCAGAAGGGCAGGAAAACTTCAACAGCCACTTGAAGACATAACTCCAAACGGCGGATGAAACGGACACCGCCCGACATCGCCAGCACGTGGGGAAACGCGGCCTTGGCCACCTGTCCACCTGGTGTCTGGGCCGCGACGAACCGGACCCGCTGGCTGAGACGCCTCGGCCACCCAGGGCTCCCGAGTATTGCGCAGATGAACCTGTGCCCGCGCACGCGAGGTTTCTGACCCCAAATCAGAAACGTACATGACCCATCAGGGAGGATTCCGGGAAGAGGCAGGAAAGCCCCCGGCTCCACACCGAGGCGCCAGTTTCGGAAGGCGGGTTTGCCGAGGGCTTGCAACTTCCAGGGGAAGGCTTGGAGAGTCAAAACTGACCGGTTCTGGGCGGTTTCGGCGCTTTGCACAGTAGCGGCTCCCCACCCCCTGATGCGGCTGCACGCAACGTACAGCAGTCAGGGTGGGCGAGAGGCACCCGTCCTCGGAACACCAGGGGTCCGTGTTCTGGTCGCCGCTTCTGATCGCAGAAAGGCAGAGAGGCAGGCAGCCGTTATTGTGGTACCTCCCCTCAGCGTCGCCAGCCTGTCCCCACTCCGGTTCAAGTGACTTCCAGGTGATTCAAAGGGCCGGTGCCCTTGTGTTCCCTCTTCGTTTTTCACTTTTCCCCTTTCAGGAGCCACACATTAAAAGACTAGCACATTCACAAATATCCGCAGATATGGGAAAAATTAGAAAGTCGCTGCGCATGCTCAAGGAAAGGTTTAGAAAAGACCTAAGAAGGGGCGCTTGGGGCGCCTGGGTGGCGCAGTCGGTTAAGCGTCCGACTTCAGCCAGGTCACGATCTCGCGGTCCGTGAGTCCGAGCCCCGCGTCGGGCTCTGGGCTGATGGCTCGGAGCCTGGAGCCTGTTTCCGATTCTGTGTCTCCCTCTCTCTCTGCCCCTCCCCCGTTCATGCTCTGTCTCTCTCTGTCCCAAAAATAAATAAACGTTGGAAAAAAAAAATTTAAAGAAAAGACCTAAGAAGACAAAGTCTACACCTCAGGGGATCCTCACTACAGAGACAGCTTACAATAAAGCAAAAGCAATAACAAAACACAGCAAACCCTGGGGAAGTGGGAGAATCCAATTCCCAGAGTTACCACACAACTGGATTCACATGTCCAGTGTTCAACAAAAAGTCACAAGGTATACCAAGAAATAGGTAAATATGGCCTATCATTTGAAGGAAAAAGTAGGGACACCTGGGGGGCTCAGTCGGTTGAGTGTCCGACTTCCGCTCACGTCACAATCCCATGGTTCGTGAGTTTGAGCCCTGCATCGAGCTCTTTGCTGTTAGCACACGGCCCGCTTCGGATCCTCTTTCTCTCTCGCTCTGCCCCTCCCCAGCTTGGGCTGTCGCTCTCAAAAATAAACATTTTAAAATAAATAGGAAGTAAAACAATGATCTAAATGTGCTTAAAGAGCTAAAGGAAGATGTGGAGAAAGTCAAAGTGTGAAGGGAAATGGAAATATTAAGGAGACAGAAAACCTAAAAAGAAACCAAGAAGAATCTCTGCAGCTGAGAAGCACAGTAACTCGAATGAAAACTTCACTAGAGGGATTCAAAGGCAGACCTGAGCAGGCAGGGCCAAGAGTCAGGTATTGAAGACACGACGATGGCAATGACCGAGGCTGAGGAAGGGGGAGAAAACAAAATGACTGGGCAACGGTGACCAGAGCCTCAGAGACCTACGGGACATCAACACAGGGACCAAGGCGCAGGTCACAGGCGTCCCGGAAAGAGAAGAGAGGAAGGAGCAAAAAGAACATTTGAAGAAATAATGCCTGAAAACTTCCCAAATTTGAAGAAAAACATCAACAATCAGAAAGCTCAATCAACTCCAAGTAAGATGAATTCAAAGACCCATGCTAAGACACATCACAGTCACATTTTCAAAAGACAAAGAGCGAAACTTAAAAGCAGCAAGAGAGAAAGAAGCGAATCATCACCTACAAGGCATCGTCTTTAACATTAGGTAACTTGAAGCCATGTAAACAAACGAAGATCTCAGTAAAGGTAAACATAGGCAATGCCAAAAATTCGTATTACTGTAGCGTCTGGCTTGCAATTGTACTTTTTGTTGTCTGTGTAATTTAAGAGACTAATTCATTTAAAGAAAATTAGGGGCACCTGGGTGGCTCAGTCGGTTGAGTGTCCGACTTCAGCTCAGGTCATGATCTCGTAGTGAGTTCGAGCCCCATGTCTGGCTCTGTGCTGACAGCTTAGAGCCTGGAGCCTGTTTCAGATTCTGTGTCTCCCTCTCTCTCTGTCCCTCCCCAGCTTGTGCTCTGTCTCTGTCTCAAAAAATAAACAAACATTAAAAAAATTAAAAAAAGAAAAAAGAAAACTAATGTAAAAGCTAGTATTCCTGTATCTTTGGTTTATAACTCCCAATCTCGTTTTCTACATGATCTGGGAGATGAATGCACTTATTTTACTTTTTAAAAAATGTTTAATTATTTTTGAGAGAGTGAGAGAACGTGAGTGGGGGAGGGGCAGAGAGAAAGGGAGACACAGAATCGAAGCAGGCTCCAGGCTCTGAGCTGCCAGCACAGAGCCCGACGCGGGCTCAAACTCACAAACAATGAGATCGTGACCTGAGCCGAAGCTGGACGCTTAACCAACTGAGCCACCAGGGGCCCCGACAAAATACACTTTAAATAAAAAAGGGGAAGCCTGGGTGACTCAGTCTGTTAAGCATCCGACTTTAGATCAGGTCATGAGCTCACGGTTTGTGAGTTCGATCCCTGCGTCCGGCTGTCTGCCGGCAGTGCAGAGCCTGCTTTGGATCCTCTGTCTCCTTTTCTCTCTGCCCCTCCCCTGCTCACGGTCTTTCCAGACTAAACATTAAAAAAACGTTACAGGAGTCAACAAAGGACATTATTAATAAAAGGCTCCATACAAGAAAATATGTAAAAAATGCACTTAATGACAGACCATCACAATATAGGAGGCAAAAACTGACAGAACTGAAGGGAGAAACGGTTGTACAGTAACAGGTGGAAACTTCAGTACCCCACTCACAATAACGGACAGACCAGACCAAAGGAAGGAAACAGGATTCACACAACATAGTAAACCAATAGACCTAACAGACACGTGCACAACAGTCCGCCCAAGAGCAACACGCACATTCTTCTCAGGTACACATGGGACATTTTCCACAACAGACCCTATGTTAGGCCACAAATTAAGTCTCAAAGACCTCATACGGAGCAATCCCTATCAAAATACCAACAGCATTTTTCACAGAACCGGAACATAAACAATCCTAAAATTGGCATGGAACCACGCAAGACCCAGAATAGCCAAAGCCATCACAACAGGAGGCATCACAATTACAGACTTCAAGTTATATTACAAATCTGTAGTAATCAAAGCAGTACGGTACTGGCACAAAAAAATAGACACATAGATCAGTGGAACGGAACAGAAAACCCAGAAATAAACCTATAATTACATGCTCTGTTAATCCTTGACAAAGCAGGAAAGAATGTGCAACAAGAAAAAGTCTCGTCAACAAATGGTGTTGGGAAAACTGGAAACCACATGCAAAAGAATGAAACTGGACCACTTTCTTACACCATACACAAACTCAGGACACCTGGGTGGCTCAGTCGGTTAAGCATCTGACTTTGGCACAGGTCATGATCTTGCGGTTTGTGGGTTCGAGCCCCGCGTCAGGCTCTGTGATGACAGCTCAGCCTGGAGCCTGTTTCAGATTCTGTGTCTCCCTCTCTCTGCCCCTCCCCTGCTCGTGCTCTCTCTCTCCCTCTCAAAAACAGGCTTTAAAAAAAAATTCTTAGTAAATAAAAACTTAAAAAATGGATTAAAGATTGGATTAATGGATTAAATGTGAGACCTAAACCCTTAAAAAACCTGAGAAGAGCGCACAGGCAATAACTTCTCTGACATCAGCTGTAGCAGCATTTTTCTAGATAGGTCTCCTGAGCCAAGGGAAATAAAAGCAGAAGTAAAAATAAGCTATCGGGACTACATCAAAATAAAAAACCTTCTGTGCAGTGAAGGAAACAATCAACAAAACTAGAAGGCAGCCTACCTCCAAAGAAGACATGCATGTGGCCAGCAGACACGTGAAAAGACGCTCAACACGATTCATCATCAGGGAAATGCAAATCAAAACCACAAGGGACAGGTCACCTCCCACCTGTCAGAACGGCTAAAATCAACAACACAAGAAACAACAGGTGTTGGCAAGGATGTGGAGAAAAAGGAACCAACCCTTGGGCACAGTGGGTGGGAACGCAAACTGGGGCAGCCACTCTGGAAAACAGTATGGGGGTCCCCAAAACGTTAAAAAAAATCACTACCCTACAATCCAGAAATCACACTACTGGGTGTTTACCCCCAAAATACAAAAACACTACTTGATTCAAAGGGATACATGCACCCCTAAGTTGACTGCAGCATCATGTACAATAGCCAAATTATGGAAACAGCCCACATGTCCATCCACAAACAGATGGGATGCCTGGGTGGCTCAGTCGGTTGAGCGTCCGACTTCGGCTCAGGTCATGACCTCACGGTTTGTGGGTTCGAGCCCGGCGTCGGGCTCTGTGCTGACAGCTCGGAGCCTGGAGCCTGCTCCCGATTCTGTGTCCCCCTCCCTCTCTCCCCGCTCCCGCACTTGCCCTCTGTCTCTGTCTCTCTCTCAGAAATAAGCATTAAAATTTTTTTTTTAATTAAAAAAACCCCAGATGAATGGAGACAGAAGATGTGGTGTACATACACAGTGGAATATTATTCTGCCATGAAAAAGAATGAGCTCTTGCCATTTGCAACAACATGGATGGAGCTAGAGGACAGAATGGGACGTGAAATCAGGCGGAGAAAGACAAATACCATATGATTTCACTCATGTGGAATTTAAGAAACAAAACAAGCTAAGGAAGGAAAAAAAACAAAAGACAAACCAAAAACAGACTTTAAACTATAGAGAACTGATGGTTAACAGAGGAGACGTGGATTGGGGGAATGGGCGAAAGAGGCAGCGGCATTAAGGAGTGAGCTTATCACGATGGGCACCAGGTGCCGTATGGAAGTGCCCAATCACTGTATTGTACACCTGCAACTAATATACCACCGTATGCTATCCTCGAATTCAAAACTTAAGAAAAATAAAGATACCATATACAGGATCTTCTCCGACCACAACAGGGTGAAGTTAGAAACCAATAACAAAACTGAAAATTCACAATATTGTGGAAATTGAACCATACATTTTAAGCAACCAGTGGATCAAAGAGGCAATCACAGGGCAAACTAGAAAACAGAGACAAATGAAAATTAAAGCACAACAGTTGAAACTCACGGATGCAGCAAGCTGGTGTCAAGGGGGAAATTTCTGGCTATAAATGCTCACATTTATTTATTTATTTATTTTTAATTTATTTTTTTTTTTCAACATTTATTTTTGGGACAGAGAGAGACAGAGCATGAACGGGCAAGGGGCAGAGAGAGAGGGAGACAGAGAATCGGAAACAGGCTCCAGGCTCTGAGCCATTAGCCCAGAGCCCGACGCGGGGCTCGAACTCACGGACCGCGAGATCGTGACCTGGCTGAAGTCGGATGCTTAACCGACTGCGCCACCCAGGCGCCCCTATAAATGCTCACATTTAAAAACAAGAAAGATCTGAAGTCAACAACCTAACTTTAAACTCGGATAAAAAAAAAAACTAAAGCAAAAGCTCACAGAGGGAAGAAAACAGTAAAGACTACACCACACATAAAGGAAACCAATAAGGAAAAACAAAACCAAAAGTTGGTTCTCTGAAAACATAAATAATATTGACAAACTTTGAGCTAGATGGACTAAGGAAAAAAAGAGAGAAGACTCAAATTATTAAAATCAGAAATGAAAGTGGGGACATTACTACTGATTCTACAGAAATGAACAAGATTTGAAGAGTATACTATGAAAAATTGTATGCTAACGAGTTGGATAACCTCCATGAAATGGACAAATTCCTAGAAACACAAAACGTACTGAGACTAAATTACAAAGCAATAGACAATCTGAATAGACATACAACTAGTAAGGACATTAAATCAGTAATCAAATCTCACCCAACAAAGAGAAGCCCAGGACCTGAAGGCTTCACTGGTAAATTCCACCAAACATTTGATGAACCAATACCAATGCTTCTCAAACTTTAAAAAAAAAAAAAAAAAAAAAATGAAGTGGGGGCGGGGAGAACACTACCCAACTCATTCTAGGAAGCCAGCATAACTGTGACACCAAAGCCAAAGGCATTACAAGAAAACTACACACCAATATCCCTTTTAAACATTGACACAAAAATCCTCAGCAAAACACAAGCAAACAGAATTCAGCAGCATTTAAAAAGGATTACACACCAAGACCGAGTAGGATTTATTCCTGGAATGCAAGGACGATGATTACACCACATGAACAAAATGAAGAAAAAAAACACATGATCATCTCAATCAATGAAGAGCATTTGACAAAATCCAACACCCTTTCATGATAAAAGCACCCAATAAAATAGGGAAAAGAAGGAAACTATCTCCACGTAATAAAAGCTGCATATGAGAAACCCACAGCAAACAGAATAAATGGTCAAAGACAAAGTTTTTCCTTTAAGATCAGGAATAAGGCAAGGATGCCCACTCTCACCACTGCTATTTAACACAGTACTGGAGGTTCTAGTCAGAGTCATTAGGCAATAAAAGAAATAAAAGGCATCCAAATTGGAAAAAAAGAAGCAAAACTATCTGTTTGCAGATAATATGATCTTATATAGAAAACCCTAGAATCCACAAAACTATCAGAGTAAATGAATTTAGCAGAGTAACAGGATACCAAAGCTGTACACAAAAATCAAGTGCATTTCTATACCCAAACAATGAACAATCTTAAAAGGAAATTTTAAAAACAATTCCATTTACAATAAAATCAGAAAGAATAAAATATGTAGGAGGTAAAAGACCTGTACGATGAAAACTACAAAACACTGCTGAAAATAATTTAAAAAGACATATATACACGGAGATACAGCCCATGCTCATGGAAAGATTTAATATCGCAAACATGTCAATACTACCAAAAGTGATCTACAGATTCAATACAATCCCTAGCAAAATCCCAGTGACATTTTTGCAGAAATAGGAAAACCCAAGGTGCCTGGGTGGCTCAGTTGAGCAACCGACTCTGCATTGCAGCTCAGATCATGATCTGACAGTTCATGAGTTCAAGCCCTGCATCTGGCTCTGTGCTGACAGTGTGGAGCCTGCTTGGGATTCTCCCTCCTTCTCTCAGTCCCTCCCCTGCTTGTGCATACACGTGCACTCTGTCTCTCAAAATAAATACATAAGCTTTATTTTATTTTTTAGCATTTATTTACTTTTGAGACAGAGGCAGAGCATGAACAGGGGAGGGGTAGAGAGAGAGGGAGACACAGAACCCGAAGCAGGCTCCAGGCTCTGAGCTGTCAGCACAGAGCCTGACGTGGGGCTGGAACTCACGGACCATGAGATCATGACCTGGGCCGAAGTCAGATGCTTAACTGACTGAGCCACCCAGGGGCCCCAATAAACTTTAAAAGACAAAAAAACAAAACAAAAAACCCATCCTAATATTCACATGCATTCCTGAAGGGACCCTGAATAGTCAAAAAATTCTTTTTTCCTTTTTTTTTTTTTTTTTTTTAAGAGCCTGACCCAGAACTCCATCCCATGACCCTGGGACCATAACCTGAGCCAAAATCAAGAGTTGGATGCTCAACCAACTGAGCCACCCAGGTGCTCCCCAAACATTTCAAAGTTTATTTTGGGAGAGGGGGGCACAAGCAAGGGAGGGACAGAGAGAGAGGAGAGACAAAATCCCACACAGGCTCCGCACTGTCAGCAAATAGCCCATGAGATCATGATCTGAGCTGAAACCAAGTGTCAGACGTTTAACTGACTGAGCCACCCAGGCACTCCCCCCGCCTTTTTAAAAATTTATTTTGAGAGCGAGCGAGAGAGAAAATATGAATCCCAAATAGGCTCCACGCTGTCAGTGCAGAGCCGAACGCAGGACTCAAACCCACAAACCACGAGATCATGACCCGAGCTGAAATCAAGAATCCTCAGATGCTTACCCGACTGAGCCACCCAGGCACCCCACCCCCAAAACATTCTTGAAATAGAAAAACAAAAGTGGAGGACATACTTCCTGATTTCAAAAGCTACTACACAAAGCTACAGCCATCACAACGGTGTGGGCCTGGCATCAAGACAGATATAGAGATCGATGGAACAGAACAGAGAGAGCCCGGAAGTGAACCCTTGCAAGTGATTTTTGACAAGGGCGCCAAGACCAGCCCATAGGAAAAGAACAGTCTTTTCAACAAATGGTGCCGCGAAAACTGGACAATCACGTGCAAAAGAACGAAGTTGGATCCTTACCTAATACCAGACCTGTAAATTAACACAACATGAAGAAAGGACCTAAATGCAGCTCCTAAAACAATAAAACTCTTGGAAGAAAACACAGGAAAAAAGCTTCAGGACATTGAATTTGGCGATGATTTCTTTAATAGGACACCAAAAGCACAGGCAACAAAAGGAAAACAAGTCGGACTTCATGAAAATTAAAACTTTTTTTTTTTTTTTTTTTACATCACCAGACCCTATGCACAAGAGTAAAACAGCAACCCTCAGGAGAAAATATTTCCAAATCACATATCTGATGGGGAATTAATATCCACAATACATAGGGAACTCCTAAAACTCAACAAAAATCAAATAGTGCAATTCAAAATGTCCAAAGGACTTGAATAGACCTTTTTCCAAAGATAACATGAATGGCCAATAAGCACATGAGATGCTCCACATCGTTAATCGTTAGGGAAATGCAAATCAGTATCACAAGGAGATCGCACCTTACACCATTATTAGGATGGTGATTATCAAGGACAACAGAAAACAAGTGTCGGGCAAGGAGGTGGAAAAATCGGAAGCTCGTGCACTGCTGCAGGAACTAAAAATGATACCGGGCTCCTGGCTCACTCAGCGGAGGGCGCGACTCTTGATCTCAAGATTGTGAGCTCAAGCCCCACGTTGGGAGTGGAGATTACCCTAAAAAATATATAAAATCTTGGGGTACCTGGGCGGCTCAGTCAGTTGAGGGTGTGACTTCGGCTCAGGTCATGATCTCATGGTTCATGAGTTCAAGTCCCACTTTGGGCTTGCTACTGTCAGCACAGAGCCTGCTTCAATCCTGTCCCCCTATCCTTGCCCCTCCCCCATTCATGCTCTCTCTCAAAAATAAACATTAAAAATTTTTTTAATATATAAAATTTTTTATAAAAAAATATTTTTAATATATAAAAAAATATTTAAAAAAATTTTTAATATACAAAATCTTTAATATATAAAATCTTTTTTTTTCCAACGTTTATTTATTTTTTTGGGGACAGAGAGAGAGCATGAACGGGGGAGGGGCAGAGAGAGAGGGAGACACAGAATCGGAAACAGGCTCCAGGCCCTTGAGCCATCAGCCCAGAGCCCAACGCAGGGCTCGAACCCACGGACCGCGAGATCGTGACCTGGCTGAAGTCGGACGCTTAATTGACTGCACCACCCAGGCGCCCCTTTAATATATAAAACCTTAAGGGCACCTGGGTGCCCATCCGACTCCTGGTTTCAGCTCAAGTCATGATCTCACGGTTCCTGCGTTCAAGCCCCGGGTCTGGCTCTGCACTGACAGCATGGAGCCCACTTGGGATTCTCTCTCTCCCTTTCTCTCTCTCTCAGCCCCTCTCCAGCTTGTTCTCTTTCAAAATATTAAAATATAGGAAATCTTAAAAAAAAGTTAAAGAAATGGTATAGCCTCTGTGGGAAGCAGTATGTAGGCTTATCAAAAAATTAAAAAGAGAATTACCATATGACCCAGAAATTCCACTTCTGAGTATTCACCCAAAAGAATCGGAAACAGAGTCCCAGAGAACTATTTGTACACCTATGTTCATAGCAGCATTATCCATAACAGCTGAAACACAGAAGCAACCCTGCGACCATCAACTGAGAAGTGGATAAACAAAATGTGGTATGTACATGAGATGGAATATTCTTCTGGCCTAAAAAGGAAATCCTGCAATATGCTATAACATGGATGAACCTTGAGGACATTATACTAATAGAAGCTAGTGACAAAAAAACATATAAGATCCCATTTATATGAGGTACTTAGACTAGTCGGAATCAGAAAGACAGAAGGTGTAATGGTAGTTTCCAGGGGAGAGTAGGGAATCATTGTTCAATAGGTAAAAAGTTTTGGGGCACCTGGGTGGCTCAGTGAAGTGTCTGACTCTTGATTTTGGCTCAGGTCATGATCTCAAGGTTTGTTCAAGCCCTGTGTTGGCTTCACATGATGGAAGCCCGCATAACAATAAAAATGAACGAACTACACACAGGACACCACATGGATGGATCATACCGTGTTCAATGAAAAAACAAAACACAAAGGAACATACGCAGAATGGTTCCATTTACATAAAGTTCAAAAGCAGACAAACTATCATATAAGGACACGCGCAAAGGTGATACAATTCTAAGAGAGAATAGGGGAGGGAGTAACAAAAGATGACCCCCAGTGGTTCCCAATCTCCACCCTACATTCAGTCACCTTGGGTCAGGTGGGGGAGCTTTAAAATCTACCCCAGCCTAGGCTCCCCACGTGGAGGGTCTGATCCCACAGCGTCTGCAGTGCTGGCCTTGGGCTTCCCTTCCAAAGCTCCCAGGTGTTTCTAACATGAGGACAAAGTGGAAGGCGCGGCCCTAAGGTGAGGCGGGAGGGGCGGGTGCGGGCATCTGGGCTGCTGGCTTCCTTGCCGGGGGTGGGAGTCTCACAGATGTTAACTGTAGAATTTACTGTACATTTCTTTTATGCCCTTATCTGGAGCCGTCAGCCCTCCGCTTTCTCCACAGCATACACGTAGGTGTTCCAGGGCCCACAGCTCACAGCCCTTACCTGGAGCCGCTTGTCTACGAAATACTCCACTCGGCGGGGCCGATCCAAGCTGCTCGTGTCCTTGTGGCCAAGCTGTCCGTATTTACCTAAAGTGAAACGAGCCCCTTGGCCATCCTCGCCGCTCGACCTTGGGGCTGCCCCCCTCCAGGAAGGAAATTCAGTCCATGCACCAAAGTGCTGGGTCTAATCCTCCACTCCGCTGGGGTCTGCTCTGGGAGATCAGGAGACCAGGCCACAGAGTCCTCAGGGCCAGGCGAACCCCCAGGCCCCCAAGGGGGCAGCTGCCACCCGCCATTCCGGGCAAGATGCTCTTCCGGATGGCCTGCTCTTCGCCTCAGATACTCGGAGCAGAGATTTCTGTTGGAACCTTTTTTTCTGCCCGGTGCAGACCAACAGACGGGTCATCAATGCTGCCCAACTATTCCCTTAAGACAACTTTTCAGAAAGATAAATGGGAAGTACTAACAGCGTCTCTTTCTCCTGTCTGGTCTCCGAGCTTTGGTGTGCTTGGGCCGGTTCTGGACAAGGGGATACACAGTTCAGTCCCTGACTCCCCAGTGGTCAGGCCGAGGCTCCTGCTTCCTCACGGCTGCATGGCTGTCGTCTCCTGCCCTCTCCTTCCCAGTCCCTTCCCCTTCCACTGGCTCAAGCATCACCCGAGCAAGCCCTTACTTACCCCAGCCCCAGGTGTAGAGCTCCCCCGTTCCTACAACCAGAAAGACAGGAAGGGGCTGTCACAAGGGATTTGTCTACACGGCCCGCCACAACCCCCAGCCAGCACCTTGTATGTGTCACGAGCTCTGCTGGGCACAGCAAAACATACTCTCTAACGACTGTGTGATGGCACTCGGGGTGGTAAAGGACACAGGCTGAACCAGTCTACCTTCCTTTCTGCCACCTGAGGGGCTACATCTCACAGCTACCGAGTTCAGGAGTCTCAGAGGCTGGACTGGGCAGGCCCTGCTCCCAGACAAAGGAGGCCAAAACTAGCCTCCCTCTAGGAGGGGGGACCTTCGGGGCCTGCCAGCTGGGGACCTACTGCTGACACCCCGCGGGGGCTGGGGCCGCAGTCACTGAAGTGAGGCAGCTACTCAGCACTCGTCAAAGACCCTGAAAATAGCAGTGTTTAAGGTGATCACACTCTTTCCCGGAGCGGGTGTGGGACCGGGAAGAGGGACTTCCTGCTCCATTGTGACCCAGCCCGCCCAGCCCCACTCACTCGTCACCACTGCTGTGTGCCGGGATCCACAGCTGGCCTTGACTGCATCTGTGCCCGGGGGGAGATCCAGTAAAGCGGGGAAGGGCTGGATGGCTATGAAGGGGGCCAGGCCTCCACTCTCACCCTCGGCTGTCCTCACGTCACAACCGTCTTCCTTCAGTCCACTGGCTTCAGGGAAGCAGGGAGCGTGATGAGGATAATGGCGGTTCACAGGGAGCACGGACCTACCCCTTACCCACACGTTAGCTCCTCTGGCACAAAAGCGCCACGGAGCACCTTCTGTCCACCCCCCGCACTCCCAGGACGTGCTGGGCTCGACAGGTCCGCAGGGAGTGTGGTGTTGACGCACCAGCCTCACCGCTCTCCAGTCCCTAGGGGCCAAGGGTCCTGCAGCGGGGCCTGGGGTCCCACGTTGTCATGTGTCCCTTCTGAGCACCGTGGGGTCTCAGGCCAGCACGTGGCCAGGAGTCGGGACTGACAGAAACACACATAGAACTGACGCTCACCTTCCCCTGCAGCGGTCTTGCCAACCTCTGCCAGGCTCCTGCTGGGCAGGGCCAGCTGTCCGGATTCGTTCCAGCCCCAGATATAAATATCGCCAGTCTCTGAAACAGAGATAAAGGGGACCCATCAAATAGACTGTAAACCCCCCACAACCTCCAAGGACCCCTGAATCCATCCAAACTCCCTCGTACCCTCTAGCTCCCTGGGGACAACAAATGCCTGCCCTACCCAAGTTAGCACAGGGCAGAGCCTCCCTCAGCCCCCAGAAGTTTCCTGGTCTTTTCTTTCTTTCTTTTTTATTTCTTTTTATCTATTTAGAGTGAGACGAGTGGGGGAGGGGCAAGGAGAGGGGGAGAGAGAATCCCAAACAGGCTCCGCATTGTCCGTGCAGAGCCCAACGCGGGGCTCCCTCTCACGAACCATAAGATCATGGCCTGAGCCAAACGCTTGACTGAGCCCCCTAGGTGCCCCTGGACTAACACCATCTTGGACAAACCTGCCATGACAACAGGCCTGTGGCCTGAAGCCTTCTTGAGCACAGCCCCTTGATACATTCTTTTTTAGATCACGCCCACAAGAGCCCTTAAGAACAGCCTTGGGGCGTAAGGTCTTTGGATCTGCTCTGGAAAGGAATCCGACACTTAACTATTCTCAGTCTCCTCCAGGTGGTCCCCCGGCGTGGACTCCCCAGCCTCGAGGGCTGGGGTGGGAGGTGAGGTCGCAGCCGACTTGCAGCTGCCCACCACACACGTCCGGAAGTAAACTTTCTCATCAAGCTGGACTAGGCCTTTTCTTTGGTCCACAACTTCTTTGGAGGTCATTTTGCACAAACTTCCCTTTCACGGAACGTCCCACAACACACATTTCAGAAATGTGCCCTTGGAAGTTCCCAACATTTCCCTTTCAAACCCACTGAGCCCTTTGTTAACATCCCTTTGTTAATCCGCCCTCCCCCCTCCCAGGTACCGTTGAAGGCGTTTTCTGGAAGCTCTCACCTCCCCATCTCCCACAACACCACAGTTTGTTGGCTGGAGCAATGGCCCTCCTGTAAAAACCCACTAACGACTGTAGCTCACTTTTATCAAGCGTTCGATCTATGCCAGTGTTTCAAGCACTTTTCACATATAATCACTCACTCCTCGTGACAGCCCTACAGAGGGTCACATGACCACATCCCGTTTTATTTACGAGAAGACACGCGCCATGGACGGGTTAAGTGCCCTGCCCAAGGTCACAGGGGGCAAAAGGATGTCTGCTCTGAAGCACCTGTGCTCCAAACACTCTAGGAAAGAAGGCTCCCAGCTCCTTCCGACCCCTAAGTGTGAGACTTCCCATCCAGCTGCTCCCTTCTCTTCCCTCTGGCCCAGCAGTTTTCAGGTCTGGCTGCCAACCCAGGGCCATTACATGAGACTACGGGGGGGGCGGAGGTGCGGGCATAAGTTGTTGTTACAGCTGCCCCCGACCCCCGGAGACGTAAGTGGCAGCCAGAGCCCCAGATGCAGACCCTTGACTAGATCTGCTCCCAGCCCCACCCAATACCCCAGGAATCAGCTGCAGCCGGGGGCCCTGCCAGGGCGGCGAACTTACAATCCGAAGCGAGGGTCCTCACTCTAGGCTCACCCTCCCCACCCTCATCCTCCCCGTGGGCACCTGAGCGTCCCCTGTGGGCCACACGTCATGGCCACCTGACTCACTGAGCCTTTCTTCTCCATTCTCCTTGGCTCAGCTGACCCCTCACCCCTTCACGCACCCTTGCGGTGTTTTAGGGAGGCAGCCCTGCCTGGAGGCGGAGGGAGGGGAGAGGTGGGAGGCCAACAGAAGGTAGAAAACAACTGCAACAGTACCGGTGTGAGTGGGTATTGGCTGTGGCAGAGGGGCTGAATTTTTTTTTAGTGTTTTATTTATTTCTGGGAGAGAGTGCTTGAGCATGCACTCCTGTGGGGGGGGGGGGGGAGGGACCCTGAGATCATGACGTGAGCCGATATCAAGAGTCAGATGCTTAACGGACCGAGAGCCACCCAGGTGCCCGAGAGGGGCTGAATTCGAAAGGCATGTAGGAGTCCCGAATGACTGAGCTGATTAACGCAGGATGAACTTGGAAGGAGGCCCGGCTAGGCTACCCACCCACACCGGAAAAGAAGAAAGGTTTGGAGCCGTGGAGCCCCGGAGTTTGTCCGGAGAGGCGCTAGGTCACTTACCACTCACACACACGGAGTGCCAGCCCCCTGCAGCCACCTCAGCCATGGGTACGCCCTGCAGCGCCTCCAGCGGCCTCGGCTCCAGCTCGGCCTCCAGAGTCCCGTGGCCCAGCTGTCCATGCCTGAGCAAGGGAGACCCCGGTCAGGTCTCCCCTTCCTTACCGCAATCACACTCGGCTTGCCCCCACACGGTCACCTCCCACGCGGAGCCACGTTTATCTGCCCCCGCCCCCGCAAGAGGCCCACGGGCCACCCCTGGCCACGCCCCCCACTCACCGGCCCTGGCCCCAGGAGAACACCTGGCCCGCTTCGTCCAGCAGCAACGCGTGCTCGGCGCCCAGCTCCAGCCGGCGCGCCCGCAGCTCGGGGGCCAGAGGGCTGTAGAAGGGCGGCCGCGGACTCACGTAGGCCCGCCCGCCGGGCAACAGGGGCAGGGCCCCGGCCTGGGGCTCACCGCCCGGTGCGTCTTCCCCCTCGGCCTCCGGCCCCACGGTGTGGGCCCACAGGGGCTCTCCGCTCAGCGCCGAACCCGGCGCCCAGGCCTGCAGCTCCGTCCCGGACCCGCGTCCCGGCCCGGCGCGCAGCACCACGAGGAGCGCCTCCGAGGCCCACGCGTCCCTGCAGCCGCCCGCCGCGCAGCCCGCGGAGCCCGACAGCTCCAGCCGGCCTCCACCTGTGGGGACGGAGAGGGGGCTGGGGAGCGGGTAGGCCACTCACCCGGGGTCGTGACCGGATGGGGGAGCGCGGTGGGGGGGACGCTCACGGGTCACGAAGGCGGTGTAGCTCCAGCTCGCGCTCACGCGGCAGACGTCCGCGCCCTCGCCCTCGCCCTCGCCCGGGGTCTGCAGCGGCTCGGGGCTGTGCACCTGGCGCCCGCGCCCCGAGCCCAGCGCCTGCCCGAAGCCGCAGAAACCGAAGCCGAACCAGGATCCTCGGCGCTCCTCGGCCATGCCCGGGCGGCGCCCTCTGCTGGCCGCCACCTGAATGGGGTGGGCGGTGGGACAGGGTTAGGAATCCTACCAGATTCAGGGGCTGCCGAGAATGGAGGCACTTTCCCTGTCCTCCCTTGGACTCAAGCAAGCTCGGCGTCGCCCAGAGTGGGCACCAGGTATTTAAGTGGCCTCTCCCTTAGACGTTGGCCTGGGATCTGAGCACCTCCAGCTCCAAATTCCCAGTGTCAGGCACGTTATCCCGTGTAATCTTGGGAACCAGAATTCCCATTTGACAGAGGAGACTCCCAGAGAAAGTAGCCTTTACAACCACACTGTGCTCCTCCCACCAGCGCAAAGCGGAGCGCTTGGGAGACAGTGCCCTGTGCAGGTTACAGCCAGCTCCAGGGTTCACACGTTTGCCTCTGCAGGTGGCCGTGTCTGTGTCCTTGGCCAATTAAGCTCTCTGAGTCCGATTCCGTTTCTTCCGTTTTACAAAAGCAAGGGGTAGGAAAGGGCGCTGTCTGTACCTACCCCGTCTGCGTGGAACAGATGGAAAAACGGGTTTAAGTACTGGCACATATCACGATAGGCACAAGGGAAGTATTGGTTTATTAAATCCAGTACTTAGAGTGGATTTAAAAAAGACCAGTGGTACTGGTTTTCCAGGGACCTATGTAACAATAATTTCAACTGGACCTCACCTAGTCATTTATTCGTTCTACACGGGGCCGATAAGACAGCTGTCTGTCCCTGAGGAGCTCACACATAAAGGGGGGACAAAGCCACAGTTCAGTGGTTACAAAAGCAACGCCGCTTCTTCCGTACAGCATGCTCGGCCTGATGAGAATTTCACATTTTCAAGCGTTGTAAATCAGCTACTGGGTCCCTCCTGCGACCAAACCTCCTTGACCCGGACCTGGGCTCCTAATCCCTTCCGTGTAGTCCCAACCCAAGGGAGTCTCTGACCTCGTTCCTGACCCTATGCCCTCCATCCTCTCGGGCAGCTCCTTCCGACCAGCACTCTAGAGGGAGGAAAAGCAAAAGCGGGGGAGCAGGGCAGCCGCCCAGGAACGGCTTGCCAGGCCCTGGAAGGACCCGGCTGACAGCCGCCGCGGGGGAAAGGTTTGAAGAGCCGCGCCCCGAGCGAGGCGCCCATTGGCTGCCGCAGCCTCCCCCGGCCAATCGCCGGCGATGAAGGTGACGTCCCGTTCGGGGCGGCGCTCACCTCGCCGGCCGCGGTCAGCGCTGCGGTCTGTCCAGCTCGAGTTCCGTCAAGCCGGCCCCGGGGCTTGCGCTGGCCCGCTGCGCCCTCAGTGTGAACCAGGTAACCTCCGGTGGGCGCGGGCCCGAGGCAAAGGTCGGGTCGGACGGCCCCGCCCTACGCAGCCACGCGCGGGGCCGCGGAACTCGGGTCAGAATCCAAGTCGAAGGGCTGGCGAGGAGCCACTGCGGAGACACGTGCTCCCTGTCATTCCCCTCATTCCGGGACCGCGGCAGCTCACCCACACGCGCGGAACCGATGCCCGACAGGAAGCAGCCGTACTAGGCGGGAGCCTCGGCGAGCTTAACCTTCCATTGGCTCGGGACCTGTCACTCATCTGTGTGAACCAATGAGCCTCAGTCTGGGCTCCCAGAACGGAAGCAGGCTTCTCGCGGACTGCCCGCCCCAGCAGGTCAGGGAGCTCTTGCCCTCACCTGTTTCAGCTAAGGGTTTTTTCCAGGAGGGAAGAGCATGCCCCGAGGACACACCCACCCCAAATCCAGAGCAAGGCCCGAGTGGAGGCCACTGGGAAGTCTCAATACAAAGACAAAAATATTGAAGGGGCAGCATCTAGGAGTCCAAACCCATTTATTCCCAAGCGACGGAACAGATTTTTATTAGCTTCCTAGGTTTACCCCTTGACCCTCGAGCAGAATTAAAAAGCAACTCAGCAGGCTCCAGGGTGGAGAAGCCATTGGATTCCCTCCGTCCAGGGGGCTGTGCTCTGTAGCTCCGCTGTAGACTCAACCAGGCCTGGCTCACAGCCAGCCCTCCCTGCCTCGGGACAGGGCACACATTTCACTTCCTATACGTAGAGGATCGAGGCAGTCCCGCTAGCAGGCTCGGGAGTTGCTCCCAGCTGGTGAGGCTGCTTGACGCGCCCTTTCCCAATGCCGGGAACCCACAGGCCGGGTTAGGATGCACCTTCCCCATTCCCAGCTCTCTACAGTAGTACAGGAAAAGGGCTCTGCTGCGTGAGGCTGGAGGCAGTGCTGGCAGAGCAGGGCTGTGACTGAAGGTGGTCCCTGACTGAGCAGAGGACGTCAAAGGGCAGCTACAGACAAGCCAGTGTGCAGCATCCCAGCCCCCACCAGCCCAAGCTGCGTATGTCCTCACTCCTCTGCTGCAACAGGTGACGTGTGCATGAGGCAGCCCCTCATTCTCCATCCTGGTTGGGTTTGATAAGCCCGTATTCCACCGCTTTTGCCAGGCAAGCTGCGGCAGCCCTTGTGACGGGGCTTTCCTTGCCCTTAGCCAGCACCGACAGGATCTCCAGCACTTCGCTCTCCATCAGGCTGCTGGCTATGTCTTTCGAGGCCTCCACCATGTTCAGTGCCACCACGGCACCCCGGTGCTGCAGCTCCTGGTTGGAGCTTAGAAGCAAGGCCTGCAGGATCTCCAGCCAGTGCGTGGTCTGCGGGAAACAGGGCAGTGCCACCACCGAGCCACAGGCTCAACCCTGGCAGAAGCACATCTGCGTGCCCTGGGATCCCCCCCACACCCCACCAACCGCCAGCATGCAGGGAGTTCCTGCCCACCTTCCCTCCCGCACCGAGGCACTGACCACTTGGGGGATGCGGCTGCAGAGGGAGGGCCGCATGGAGGTGAGCATGGCCAGGCCCCCAGCAGCTGCCCGCCGCAGCAGCTCGTCGTCCTCCCCGCTATACAGCACCAGCAGCTTCAGCCGGTCGTTGCCCTTGGCTTCAAACAGGTCCTGCACCTGCAGTCAGAAGAGGGGAGGGGACGGAGTCGGCTGGGGCAAAGCCTGGCGGGACACAGGTACTTCTGCATGCCTGCCCATCAGGACCACCCGGACCAGCCCTCACCTCCTTGCTCATAGCCAAATTACACATGCACTCCGTGGCTGCCCGGCGGATCATCTCGTGCTCCTCGAACATATAGCCCTCAATCATGGGCACGGCCTTCTCCTTCAGGATCTTCTGCCTGTAGGGCCGAGGGTGGAAAGGTGAGCCTCCGCATCCACCTCCCCCACCCCAGCGTCCCCACACAATCGAGCCCCAGGCCAAGGATTTCCCAGGGGGTATCCAAAGACCCTCCTGCACGAGGTATGAATGGCACTGCTTTCCAGCTTCTTAAGCAGGCCTGGGGGACAGCATGGGACCGTGGAAAATGCTCTACAGTAGGAGTTAGGAGACCAGGGGGCTGGTGATGGTGATGCTAACAGCTAACATTTAAGCACCTACCCTGACCCCGAACTTGGACTATCTTTCTTAGTCCTCACCACGGCCCTATGGTGTAGGTGCAGGTATGATTATAACTGTTTTGCACAAGAAGAGACCAAGGCTGAGTAGTGGATAACGGGGCCAATATCACAATTAGGAGTAACAGCTGACACATGTTGACTGGGCACGTTGCTGGGAGCCACGTTCTGTGTACTAAGTGCTTTTGCCTGCGTTTTCTCATTTACCTCTCCTTGCTACTACCCCTGTAGTACCTATGGGTACTATAACCATCCCATTTCCCAGAAGAAAAACGGAGGCACAGAGCAGCACTCGTTTGAGGCTGAGGTTGCACACCGGTAACCAGTGAAGTCAGGATTTAATAAACCCGGGCAGTCTGACTCTAGAGCTCGCACTGTCGCTGCCCAATGCCTTGCCCACTCGTGGAACGCTGGCCTAGTCAAAACTGGCCTGTCTCCCCAGCTACATAATACACAGAGGTCACCACGAGGCTCAAATAAAGCAACGACCCAAGAGTGCTCTTCACGCCGTCAAGTGCAGTCCTGGGGTAAATGCCCTCCCTGCCCAGGCCCCCTGTCCCGAGGGACCTTACCGGAGCCTCTCACTGATCCCCGCCAGGTTGGTCAGAGCCATGAGTGCCTCGAAGTTCTGCAAGCCTGAGCAGTTGAGGTGCAACAGGGAGACGAGAGGCCGGACCACCTCGTAGATCTGTGATACATCCACCTGTCAGGGCCACTCGCCCCGCCCCCACTGCCCTGAGGGGCAGAGCCCGCCCTCAGAAGGCCACCCTCCCCACACCAGGGCTCAGCAAAGCTGCCACGTCCTGTCAGTCCCAAGGAGGAGCCACAGCCCAGGTCAGAGGCCACCAGGACCCAGTGAGAGGTGAAGGAGAGGCCAGGGCTGGGGCAGCAGGACACATACCCGCTCTCCAGGAAAAGTCATCTCTGGGTTGGAGGTGATGGTGAGCTTGGCAAGAGCCTGGGCAGCCTTTGTCTGCCCCACATCAGTGCCTTCCAGGGCCAGTGGGAGCAGAGCCTGTGGGGACAAGCCCATGAGTGTCCGAGATGTGTCCTAGCAGGTCAGGCCCAAACTACCAGGCCCTGAGCCCTGACCGGGTGCTCGCCTCTCTCCTCCCCCGGGCTTGACCACATTGCTCAGATCTCTTCATGTCTCCCAGGCATCCCCTTAAGCTGCCCAAACACTTCAGGAAACACCTATTAAGGGCCAGCCACGGCTTGTGCTGGGCCCCAGACCATGCAGGTCAGTGACACGAGGGAGAGGAGGAGAACTTGGGACCTGAATGGGCACAAACCTGCCCTCGTCGGCATCACTCACTCGGCAGGAGGATGTTCCTGCCGGTCATTCGTAATGCCTTCTGGCCTCGTCTCCAGTGTGGCGGCCGCTGACTCACGTTTTACAGACCACCAGGAAGGAGCGTGCAAGCTTACCTTGCCCCCTCCCTGAGCAACCACAGTGCCGCGGTCTTCTACATCGTCCACCAAAGCCAGGAAGACCCTGCGGGGAGAGGGTGAAGGTGGGCGGGGGCCGGGGCTCTGGCTCACACCGCACCGTCTGGACTCAGCGAAGGCAGGAAGCTACACGGTGGCCCCTCACTCCCAGAGGCCCACAGCCCCGGGGACCTGCTCCTCTGCAGTTACACGGACCGTCTCGAGGCTTCTGGCTGCGCTGAGGCGGCCTCACCTGGAGAGCAGCTCTCGGCAGGAATTGGTCAGCACAGGGCTCTCGGTTTTCACCATGCACGTCATGGCCGACACCACGCCCGCCGCCAGCAGCTTCTTCACCCGAGCCCTCACGAAACCTGCTTTGTCCTGGATGGGGAGGCAGCTTATTAGCAGAAGAGCCTTGGCTGGCTGGACAGGAAAAGGGGGACCCTCCGTACAGCACAAACTGATGAACAGGAGTACAAAGGGAAAGAAACTTGCTCACACGGAAGTTTAAGCTGCTGTGGATGCCCCAGGTCAACTGGTCCCAAAGGCACAGAGGCCCCCAAAGCCTCTCGGGCTCCCTCACCTTGGGGTGCTGCTCCGGAACATGCTGCTTGGCGTACTTGGCCAGCTCCACCATCTTGGGGTCCGGCTCCTCATAGTCGTAGCTATTGGTGCAGTTCACCAGTGCCGAGGCCACCGCAAAGAGCACCGACCTCTCCTCGGACTGCCGGCAGCAGAGGGGCGGTCAGCCGGCCATCCCGGGGCAAAGGAGCATGGGACAAATGCTGCCCAGGCCACCGACTCTACCCCCAGCAGGACCGCTCGGGCACCGGGATGAACGTGGGAACCTCCTAGGCCCAAGCTGGCCCCAAACTTTGGGAGCTCACACACCCGACCCCCCGAACTCCTCCATAGAGACCATCCATCCTGTCTGACGCTGCGGGTGCAGCCCAGCAGGTCTACGCCACGGAGCACCCACGCGGGCTGCCAGCCCTCCCCACCCATCCGAGGCCACAAGAGCCTTTGGCCGAGGCCTGACAAAAGAGCTCGGTAAGTTCTAATCCTAGACGCTGTTCCCAGAGGACTACAGGAAGCCACGAGCTACCCTGCTGAGCTGGAACAGAGCCTTCAGGGCGGCTTCATCTTCCACAAACTCTTCCTTCACATCGGCATCGAAGGTGAGGTAGGCCAGGCCCTCCACTGCCCAGCGCCGGGTGCCTGCATCGATCTGGTCATTGCACAGCCACCTAGGGACATGTGGGGCGGCGGATGACCATCAGAAGGGCTGGGGGAAGGCGCCGCCAAGACCGAGCGGGCAAAGCCACAGGCTTGTGCACCCCCTCCACGCACGAAGCAGTTCACGTGGCAGGATCCGGGAGGGTCTGCCTGGAGGAGAGCAGGGTCATGAGGAGGTCCCACCCTCCACCCAGACCTTTCTCTCGAAGGTGGGGAGCCATGGCAACACCAAATAACTCACTTTCGACACTGCTTGGCGAGTTTGAGAGTAGAGCCTTCGGCAAACTGCTTCATGCTGAAGTCCGTCCCTCCAGCCGAGCCGAGCTTGCACAGCCCCTGGAGGAGGCGGCGAGAACCAGCTGTCGGTCTCCGGGGATGGAGGCAGAGCTGGGCTCCTCTGAGCCCGGCCCTCTGGAGGCCACGCACATCCACCCCAGGCTACCACCTGCAGCACCGGCAGCAAATCAGCTACTGGGGTGGCCACGTGACACACATCTGGAGAGACTGGCGTATCGTCCCCTGCGTAGGCCTGGATCCCAGCCCCTCCAGATCTACACCTGGACTTGCTCTTTTCATT